GCTCCACGCTGACCTAATTCTCATGGAGCCTTCCTTCTCTCTGATTATCCTCAGTGCTGAATGGGAGCAGCCACTCTCCGACTTCACTAAACGGTGCTCCGTCCACCCCTAATGGCTTCAGTAATGGGCCGGCCATGTCCTCCACGGCTTCCTTGTCCAACCAGCAGCTCCCGCCCGCGTGCGGCGCCCGGCAGCTTTGCAAGCTGAAGCGCTTCCTGACCACGCTGCAGCAGTTCGGCAACGACATATCGCCCGAGATTGGAGAGAGAGTGCGCAGCCTTGTCTTAGGACTGGTGGTGAGTTTAAGACGATACAAAAGTCTTTATTGCAGGACTGTCGAGTCCAGTCCGTCTCACCCCCCTCTCTGTGGCCTTTGACAGAACTCCACCTTGACCATAGAAGAGTTCCACTCCAAACTCCACGAGGCAACAAATTTCCCTTTGAGGCCGTTCGTTATTCCCTTCCTCAAGGTAAGTGTCCACGACAAATTCAAACATATTTGTTTGCTTTTTTTTTTTTTTTTCCAACACACTTGAGTCTGTCCATTCTATCTCCTTATTACACAACTGTTGCACAGAGCCAGGTGTCTGCCTGCTAGCCACAAGTCAGCGCAGTGAATGGAATGATGCAAACGTGAGGTGGTTTGGTTTAATGTGTCCATAAAAGAATGGTATCAAATCTAATACCTCACCTTAACGTTGGCTCACCCATTATATATATAGAGTCACTATATCTTTCTATATATATATAGAACATTTTATTCTATTTTTTGTAAACTGACAGTATGCACACATTTTACTGATGTCATTTATAGAAATATTTAAGAAAGAAAACAACAACAAATAATTACAGCGGCCGTTCTTATAAATTGCATTGCATCATTTTTTTTCCCCAACGTTCCTATTTCCCAACACCTCACTTTTATGTGTGTATCTCCATCTATTGCACACATTTCATTACTTCAGGAATAAACTCAAACTCTCTGTGTGGGAATCCGACCTCCTTCCCTGCTGTGGTCCAGCACATCTGGACCGTAGCTGTGCAGTGTCAAACAGACAGGCCTGAGAGAGCTGTTTGACAGCACGCACACAAACACACACTCACATCAACGTGGTGTTCACTCAAGCAAACGCCGCACAGACAGACACATGGCTCAGGAATGTGTCGGGTGACCCATATTATCTCATCCTCATGAGTCATTTATCACTTTTTTCCTCTGGCTCTAATCTGACATTATGTCACTCTCACTCACATTTATCTACTGTTCTGGTTTTTGTTTTTTTTTGTGTGTGTGTGTCCAACGAACACCTTGTCCTTCTTAAACTTCCTGTTTTATTACTGATCCAGGAAACTCATCTCATTCCTTCCTCTGTTTCATTCCTTCAAGGCCAACCTGCCTCTGCTGCAGAGGGAGCTGCTTCACTGTGCTAGGTTAGCGAAGCAAACCCCAGCTCAGTATCTGGCCCAGCACGAGCAGCTTCTGTTGGACGCCAACGCCAGCTCGCCGTTGGACTCTTCGGAGATCATGCTGGAGATGAATGAACACGGCAAGAGGAGGACCCCAGAAAGGTAGGGTTTCACACAGATGACAAACAAAGCGTGCCGCTGCACACGCCGGGAGCTTCACACGCAGTCAGCGTTGGAAATAAATGATTTTAGTCCATTTCAAAATGCCGAGTAAGAAGAGGAAGCTATAAATCCTCCTGTGCGAACGCGGAGAAAGAAATACAAAGGAGAGAGGCAGAAAAAAAAAAAAAATTCAGGAGGTTTCCTGTCTGCTCTTCTTGACATCATTTTCACGATTTTATGATTTTCCTCGTAGCGCGTTCTCCACACCTCATCTTACTGCCTCCAGCCCCCGTGACCTGCAGACTCCCAGCAGCTGTCCATATTCCAGGGACGTGTCCAGATGGTGATGTTCTGACTGGAGAACACACAAGGGCGGGGCCGGGGGGGGGGTTTAGAGAGGTGGTTGGCTGCTGTGGATTGTCCTAGGGGTTAGAGTACAGTAATCTGCACACCTCCACTCTCCATCCTCTGGTTGATAAAGAGGCCAAGGCTTGGAGGCCCAGCTGCCTGGTGCCAGCTGCTGCCATCATTTATCAAATATGTACAGCAGTGGTACAGCTATCATGCTTTTTTTTTTTCTTTTTTTTTTTTAATCCAAGGTATCGAGCACAGCCGTACCCACGCCACACCAACATCCATAGATACTGTACATCTATTCGCTTTCGATCACCAGTATGACGGAGTCGTCTCCATCTGCCAGACCGTTGCCATCCAGCTAAACAGATTAATATCAACACTCCCTTTAAACTGTCCAGATGGCCCACTAACACAACCTCTACATTGAAACCCCCCCAGCTAGCAAACACACACACACACACACACACACTTAAAGTACACAGACACAAATGAGTGCCACTAAACATCTGCCGACCACAGAAGACAGCCCTTTCAGCCCCAGAGCAGGGGAGGATGGGAGATTAAGGCGACAAACTCTTACGATCTAAAAGTCCGTTGAAGGTACATTAAGATTACAGTGAGTGCCTGGAACGCAGGATGTTGGATTAAACATGTTTAAAGGCTTTGTTTGATGCACGTGGTGGACAAAAGTCCAGATTCAGATGCATTTGTAAATCAAAAAAAAATCAAAAAGTTTGTGATGAGGAAATAGGGATTTTATCAATAACGCCACCCAAAGGTTCGATTTGGGAAATTTGTATTTATTTTATGTGTGTTTGTGTGTATTTATATTTATGTATTAGCAGTAGTGTGTGTGTGTATTAACCAAAAATGGCAGGTAGAAAGATGTTGAATATTATTGTTGTCCTTGAAAGTTCCGACCAAATACTGCTGACTACGTCGTGCAATTATTTCATGTTCCTGTCCATTTCTTATAAATGGTCCATGGACGTTTCAAATATGGCTCTGTATAACATTCATATACTGTCACTGTTCTTTTTTTCACCTCGTACTTACAAGCCTGAACTATACCGTGGTTTATGTTTCCATGTCTACCCCGCTGCAGGACCAAAGACGGCTCAGACAGAGATGGTCTACATCCAGAGCACCTAGCGAAGCGACCCTGCACCATCAGCCCCAGCCAGCGTTTCAGCCCCAGCACGGGTCTTCCGCCCCACCCTCCACCCAACGGCCTCCCCACGCACCCACCCAATGGCCTACCCCACCCGTCCAACCACCAGGTGGCACCGCAGCACTATCGCCTAGAAGACATGGCGCTGGCCCACCAGTACAGAGACGTCTACAGACATAACGAACACCGCGACGTCCGGGAAAGACATCGGCAGACGGGTAGGCAGATCAAGTCACATGGTATGGGTGGGAAATGGAGTGTGAGGGGTACAACGAACAAAGGCCAACTGTCAGTCCAGTGGAATAACCTATGTGTCGTTAGTCTATATAAAGCTCACAGCCGTACATGCCTGTGAGCTACAACTGTGGCCGCCATATATGCCTCTGTCATGCTTTCTTATAAGGAAGGAAAGAGGTGAATTGTTTAGCCCGGTGGTCTCACTGGTTATAGTGTGGAGACGCCGGAGGTCAAACTGTTTAAAATAATAAAGTGATTTTATACGTATTTAAACTGCAGGTTATAATAATAGTCCTTTATAGAGAGGCCTACATAATTATGGATTATAGAGTGGGTAAAATGAGCGCACATGTCCAACAGGCACCTCTACTTACTTTATGACTATAATAATAATAATTTTACTATTATTATTTATGTATTTTTGTAGCTTGATTGGTGGTTTTCTGACTCGCGTTGGATAAAAGCGTCCGCTAAATGTATTGTAATGTAATGTAATGTAACATGTCGTAGACGTGCACACACTGTTTTACAACTACACAACGACAGAACATGCTTTATTTTTTAATAATCCTTACACTACGCCATCCACAGTTCCCGAAGATCCCACGTCCACCTGAAGTCATATGTTGATAAATGTGGGTCTAACAGAGGTCCGTCCTGTTTGTCTTTGACTGCAGCAGTTCACGGAGCTCGCCAGGAGGAGGTGATTGACCACCGACTAACAGACAGGGAGTGGGCGGAGGAATGGAAACACCTCGATAATGTACGTATCAAACGCGTGGGTCACCAACCAGTCTTTGTTTCGCTGCAACTTCACCGCAGCGTGTGGGGAAACTGAGTCAATAGGTCAGTAGGTGACGGCGCTACAGACGACGGGCGCGGGGGGGGGGGACAAACAGTCATCTGGAACAGAAAGGTGGCTTCACGTGGTCGATCGCTTCGTATAACAACAACACACTCACACACACCAGGCTGTGTGTTAAATAAAAAGATGTACAGACAAAAGGGACAGAAGACATACAGACCTGTACACACACACACACACACACATATATATATATATATAGAAGCAGACCCCCAGATGGAGCTCAGGACCCAGCAGAGAGCAGCTCCAGCTGGGGTGAGCAGCTGATACAGGAGCTGCAGTCATGGAGAGAACTGGCCAGGCCTGGAGCTCTGCCAAATTAGAAACACTCCACTGGAGTAAATATAGCTAAAACACAAGGCTGAGAAATGGGGAGAAGATGAATGGGAAATAACGGTACGGTTTGAATGTCAACCATGAAAATGAATTAATTCTGCAGACAGAGTCAGGTCTGGGATCACAGGGTGAACATAAAAAAGTAAAATAAAATAAAAAGAGTTTGTTTACAGCAGTGGATCAAGGAAGACAATCTGCCGAGTAAGCAGAAAAACGGAGGAGGAGAAATTGCGTGAACATTAGCAGTCACTTATTAACACTAAAATGCGTATTTACCTATTAGCTTAATGCCGTAATAGTTACACTTTCCACTTCATATGTTAAACAGAAACGTCATCCTCTTCTCCCTCAGCTCCTAAACTGCATCATGGACATGGTGGAAAAGACGCGCCGCTCCCTGACCGTGTTGCGCCGCTGCCAGGAGGCCGACCGCGAGGAGATGAACCACTGGATCCGCCGCTACAGCGATGTGGAGGAGATGAAAAAAGGTGGGAGCAACGGACAGCACTGCCTTCCTCCTCTTCCTCCTCCCACTCCTCCTCACCACAACTCCTCCTCCAACAAAGCTAGCAGCAGCGAACTCTCGCCCTCGGCCACTGAAAGGCAGACGGGCAGACAGACAGGTAGAAAACCACACAGGGTCTGTTTGGGAACGCAAACACTGACAGGAAGGTAGGGCTTATCTAAAGTGAAACAAAAAAAAAAAAAACAACTGATGCATCGGGTTTCAGCAGATTGAATAGAACAACGAATGAAACCGTTCACATCACTCACTTTAATCTTACAGATTTTAGATATTTTATTTCTAATTTTCAGGTTATCTGTTATTGTTTCACTGTTTCTTCTATGCTGTAGACCAGGAAGTGATTTAATGGGTGTTATTTTATCATTTAAAAAAAATAAAAAATGCGTAGCGTGTGACTACTAACAATCGGACAGTGTGTGATGTCATGCAGTACCAAACTGCCTACAAACATTATTATTTTTATTTATTTATTATTATTATTATTAACTCAGTTAAATAACCTGCTAATATTAATATTTAATGATGTTGATTTTTTTTTTCTTGATTATGAAACACAAACTTTTTAAAATGTCAGCTTTAAAAAAACGATGCGTTCGTGCACCTCACTGTGTGAGCGTGACGGAGACTGATCGTGTGACGGTGTGTGTGTGTGTTTGTGTGTTTCAGAAATCCACAGAGACTTCCTACACAGGCCTCCCTCAGGATACCTGCCAGAGGAAATCTGGCGAAAAGCCGGTAAGAGTCACACACACTCACACACACTCACACACTCACACACACACAACTGTGTTTTCCAAGCGCCCTAATGAACGATCCTACACAAACGAACCCAACTCTGAGAAGAACAACTACAGTCAACGCCTAATGGCTCAGGGCCTCGATTCTGAATCACGGGGAGCGGGGCTTTCGGCCAGGTCCAAAGCGGTTACGGCGTTGATTTGTCTTGGAAGTAGATGAATGTTTATTTTACATTTCACAGAAAAAAAAAAAAACTAGAAGAAATCAGTCTTCGTTTGAATCCTGACATTGGCTTTGCTTCATGAACAGTTCTGATACTCTGCAGTGGTCGTCTGATTCACAGTTTACCTGGCCTTCCAGCCCCGTGTCCACGGCTTCAGTCGGCCCCGTCGGTCCATTAGGGACAGATGCCCCCTGTCAGTCAACCATTATGAAAGGCTACTGCAGTTAAAGCTGCAGTGAAAATGCAGTCACCCGGCCCCCGACAGAACACGTCGGAGCTAAACTCTAATTGAGCGCCTCTTTGTACGCGACGGAATGGAAATTTTGGATTTCGAACCGATGAAACGACGCCTCGTTGCTATTAATATTGGTAGAAAAATGAAAAGCAGGTGGGACCGCATGGGCAACCGTGTACACCGCGTGTTAGATAGCGCCCGTCCCAGGGGTCCGCTCTCGTTCCACACCAGTCCCAGCACTATTATGTTGCAGTCATACTCCAACACCCTGCAGATGAAAGATGCTGCTGTTGGCAAAATTACTGCGCTGCATTTTCACCCGCAGGAAAAAAAAAAAAAGCTCTTTTAATTGCAGTTGTTTTTCATACAGGTACTACAAGCATCCCGCTCTCCCCAGCACTAAAGCACCTCCAAAACAAGCAGGGTGAGTAACACATCTCACCGTCATCACGCTGCCTCTGGTGTCTGTGTGTGTCTGTGTCGCAGCCAGGTACTGTAGTCGTCATTTAATGCTTTTAGTTGATACCAGACACTGTATCCTCTGGTCTGCGGGGGTTGAGAGACTGCTGTGCTTTTTTGTAGAAAGACGGAGCAGAAATAACACGTTCCAGGGACTGGCCAAATCCCTGCGGAATTCAAACATTAATATTGCTGCCCCTGTGTTTTCCATTAAGTGCTAATTGCCCCAGCATCTGCTGTGCAGTCTCCTTGATAAGAATTAATTAAATTTGCAAACTAATCTTAGCAGTGCACGCATTAGGCCAGATAATTGAGAAGCTGGATAATGCAGATATTATTTGAAGGGAGATGAGAGAGAAGTACAGAAGTGGAGGAGCCAGGGTGTCAGAAAGAGAAAAAAAAAAAAGGTCAAGATAATTCTGTTTATATGCAACTTCTTGGCCCTGTTTTTATTTATTTATTTTTTTTTATGAATCCAACCTCCCCTTCTTAGCTGTTGTTTCGGTTTGTTTCTAGATGCTCTGTAGTGGATCAGAGAAAAACCAGTTATTGACGACAGAACTGTTTATTCCGTGTCTGTTTTATACATCTGAAAATGCAGCCCAGCAGGAACATTTCTGGTTTTGTTCATTTCAAACGAAAAAGACAATGAATCCCAATGCGGTCAGGACAAACCACATTAGTGTTTGATGAATGCCTGGTGTACGTTTGTCAACACATTTCTCAAATATATTCCTCGTGCACCGTTGTTTGCCGTGAGGCCGGTAATGAAAGATGGCAAAATGTGATCACTCCTGCCGCTGCGGGAAGTTTCTATTTTAGACTGCCATCTGGAAAGGATACTACACACCTGCCTGTTGTAAAAACACAGCCTCCTCACTCACAGTCACCGGGCTGGTGCGAACAAAAGCCCCATGATGAAATCTACTATATGAGAAGCCCTGCAGTTGATACACGCAGACGTCCTGCAGGGGGCTCTCAATTCTTCATCGGTGTAAATACTCCCATCCTCTTTTTTCTAATGATTCTTGTGAGAGTGTTACGAACACACAAGGAATCCCTGGATGTTGGAGGAACAGCCAGTTTGGTGACAGACATTCGCAGACATCTGCTGTCGTACACACCGAAAACGATTGTGGCCAGACGCCGCTGAATTAATTATTGCAGTCTGGCTGCTTCCGTTTTTTTTTCCAGCAGAAAGTTTTAAATCTTGGATGATGTGCATCTGTTCGCTGAGCTCCGACAAGATGGCAGCTTACGGAGCCTTAATAAAGAATGACAGCGTCGACAGTGTTGGGGCTGTAGTCGCGAGCGCTAACGCCTCTGAATCCGTCTCTCCCTCACAGAGGAGGCAGTGAACGAGGTGAAGCGACAGGCCATGACGGAGCTGCAGAAGGCCGTGTCGGACGCCGAGAGGAAGGCCCACGAGATGATTTCGGCCGAACGCTCCAAGATGGAGAGGGCGCTGGCCGAGGCCAAGAGGCAGGCCTCGGAGGATGCACTTACGGTCATCAACCAACAGGAGGACTCCAGTGAAGTGAGTACCAAAGACTATCCAAACCAATTCAGCATCAAATCAGATCAAAATAAAAATAAGGAACACGTTCTGAATTTCACAGACTTTTAAAACTGCCACAATTTTTACTTTTTAAAAATCTAAAATAATGTTGAAAGCATTAAAAAAACAAGCTCTTGATCTTCAGTTTTCACTCCCGTCACTACCTGGACTAATATTCTCCGTGGTCTTTCGATTCTGCTTCTGCACCAGATTGTCATTATCGCTGCACAAACAGTCCAGTTGTCTGTGTGAGTAAAAGCAGCCCCAGATGGCTGTGCCAGTCTGGGGCTGTTACAGAGCAGCTGACCACCACCTGCTGGTAACACAAGCCCGTGCTGCTGTTGCAGTTTTTTAAAGCAATATTCTAAAGGCAAAAGGTGGATGAGCAATAACAGGGAGTTAGGATCAAATGAACAAACCTGATTGAACACAGTGGGAGGGATTAAAGAGTCACATCGAGACTGTAAAGTTGTTGGGGTTTTTTTCCAATTAAATGACATACTCATTTATGAAATAATTATTTCTATTTTATTTAATTATTATTAATAATTTAATTATTAATTAAATTATTATTATTAATTCATTCATTCATTATTTAATTAATTAATAATTATTATTATTAATAATTATTTTTAAATAATTATTCTATTATATATAATTATTATTAATATCATTACTAGAAAATGTTGAAAACATCAATAAATAACATGTTACTCACATCCGGCATCAAATCAGGCATGGGCAATCTAAGGCCCGGGGGCCAGATGCGGTCCATTCAGCTTTGTAATCCGGTCCGAAATTTTCCAAATTATATCATTTATTTATATTATCATTATACTTCTGCCTTTTTTCAATACCCACGTTTCCCCAATAGATGGCGTAGAAAATGATAAAAGCATTTTAGCATTTTAGCCTTTATGCATGACTTTTACATGCCATTTATCTTAGTTCACACGAACGCTCCATCTATCTGTTCCTGACCCGGCCCCCCCTGTTCAATTTTAGGACAATTGTGGACCGTGAGTCGAAAAGTTTGACCACGCCTGTTCCAAATAAATAATGAAATACTGGGGGGGATAAGCAAAATATTTGTGCTAAGCTGCCCTTTAACCATCACAAATAAACATTTACTATAAACCTAACAAGTCAGAAGAGACTGAATGAATGTTTGCGGTAGATAAAATGGAACATTACATCTTTGTTGTCACCAAAATCTAAACACAAGTTTCCTGTCTTAAGAGGAAATTCAAAATCACAGATCATTTACAGTACAGTACTGGACACACACACACAGGTTTTGTGTTCACTAAATGCTCCGTGATGTCCCGAGACAAAAAAGAGACTTATTTTTATCGGTCCATTCTCTCCCCACTGTCTCACCAGAGCTGCTGGAACTGCGGGAGAAAGGCCAGCGAGACGTGCAGCGGCTGCAACACCGCTCGCTACTGCGGCTCCTTCTGCCAACACAAGGACTGGGAGAAGCACCACCACGTCTGTGGACAAGGCCTGCAGGGGATGCCGGGGGGCAGCAGCATCCCTCTGGGCACTCCCACCAGCACCTCGGCATCTTCCGGCGCTCCCCCAACTCACTCCGAGAGCGCCCCCCCAGGACCGCTCTCCCTGGTGGGCCAGAGCAGTATTGCAGGAGTGGTCGGCGGCGGGAGTGTTTCTGCCAGCCCCAAGGAGAGCAGTTCTAGCAGTGCCTCACGCTCCACCACCCCAGCCACCCCGGCTCTACTGGACGCCACCTCGCGCTGACGTCCAGCCCGTGCCGCCTCCCTGGATACACAAACCAAACTGAGGAATCTTTCATTGCACACCGCTCTCTCCCCTCCTCTCTTACACCTCAGCTCTTTTTCCCCCTTTTCAGTCTGCAGCTCTTCTTTCCCACCACCAGGCGACAGACTTGATCTTCAACCTCCACCCGGAAACACTTTTCCCTTCATCAAAAACACAGCCGGTGTCTCCTGTCACAGAAACATATCAGACGTGTTTGCTGAGAATGTGATCTAGGCATGGTGAGATGACACAAGACAAGGGTGGTAGTGTTGTGACATCATCGGGGGGGAGTGGGATGTCAACGCCCAAAAGCACTTGGGTAGGATTTCCCTTTAAGTACCAATGAGAGAATAGTATCCGACCCCAGGATTTGCACCACTAATCCAGACAGTTCACTGACGTGGCACTTTTATTTCTACAGTGTCCTAATGGAAACAGGTGAGGATCAAAATCCCTCCTCCGGAAGCTGAGGGGTAAGGGGTTGAAAAACCTGTAACGCGCTGAATTCATCGAAAACACAGCTTAGTATTTATATTTTAAAAAACAAACAAAAAAAGAGGTTTCTTTCTGGCTTTAAGAGACATCAAAGAAAAGCCCAAATATTCTAAATAAGGAAGAGTAGTGATGTTGGTGAACACAATAATAATAATAATAATAATAATAAAAAAATGAACCTGCTAACTACCTTGCTAGCAAGCCAAGAAAATCTACACCGGACTCACCTCGCTCTACCATCGTGAACCCAAATGATTTCAAAGAAGAATGAAGACTGACGTTATCCAAACCTTTGTATTACACTGCCAAAGTGAGTAAGTAAGCGATACGGAGAAGCACTAATAACCAAACACAAAGCAACACCACCTCCTCGGCAGAAAAGCCAGCACTGAGAGAAGCAGCAGGCTGACCAGTAGCTCCCAGCAGTGGATGAGCCGACAAAGAGACGCGCAGTCCCGTGGAGACAGCCTACGAGGATTCCTCAGTGATGAAAAGACAACGCTGTGAAGTTGACTCTGAGATGGACTAAACCCTGTCACAGTGTGTCGTTTTCACGAACGTGACCAGAACAGGACAGGAAAAGCCAAATGGCCTTAAAGGAGATGAAGGAAATACCAACGTGACAACGGGGCTGCCAAAAAAAAAAAGAACGTACAACCTGCTTAAAAAAAAAAAAAAAAAAAACTTTTCCTGACGGCATCAAACACCACAGATGAGATCAATTGGAAGTCGTTTTTTTTTTTTTTTTTTTAAAGTTCCAGCAAGACCAGACACTTAAAGGATTTGCTGTTACCTTTACATTCACACCCTTCTTTTCCAAAGCATGACGAACAGACGATGAAGAGCCTAGCAGAGGAGGATGTAACCTTCATCATCCTCTCTTTCTACCTCCCCTCACCCCGCACCTCCTTTCTACGCTCTTTCCAGACTACTTGACTCTGGGTTACCCCGGCCCGCCGTCTGCCTCGGACACAGCAGCGCCGTGAGCCGGGGGGGTTAAGACCTACTTGTAGATATTGTTCTTCTTTTCATTCTTTTTAAATACTGTCTCTTGTTGCTGATGTCCACATGTGCTGCCCCGCGTGTACCCCGAAAGACGGACTCTATTTTGTTTCTGCTACCTTTTTAATCTCCCTGCCTCCCTCCCTTTTTTTTTTTTTTTTTTATGTTTCGGGCAGTGAAGTCAGAGCAAGGACATCTGTCCGTGAACGGAAGTCTCACGTGTACTTGTTGTTTGATTTCGTGTATCTATACTGATGAGATGAAAGCCCCTCCTGTAGAATATGTTGTATTGCTCGCATTGTAAGACAGTGAGAGGACAGAGGTGCAATATGAAGAGAATTCAGCTACTGAATGGAACCTCAGCAACTGCCCATAGGGTGTCATATAATATAGATGCATATAAATATATTTAAAGCAACATCGGTAACTTAATGTGAATGTACATAGTATTTAAAGAGGTCCAAAAATGTGTTTGCCAAATATCAGAAACCTTTAAAGTTCAACGTCCAGAATATGATTTCTCTCACAGTACATTTCATGACTTCTGAATCCGCCCCCAAGCCGTAAACAAACATCCAAAACGAGGTGTGCTGAGAACTGATGAACAACCATCACACAGGTGGATGGACGTGACATGACGTCCCAGACATTCATTCTATTTTTCATCCGATCTTTTTTGCCACGTCCGTCCACATTGTTTTGTATCAGAAGTATCCGTTCAACAGTTAGTTTATGTTGGTCCCTTCAAGGCAAGGTCACGTCACAGCAGGAGGTGTCACGTTTACAATCGACATACCCTTATTTGAGCTTCTGTGTGCGCCCAAAATGTTATTACAAGTGTAATGCAACAGGAACTTTCTCAATACATATCACCCAAATTTGTTATGATAAAAAAAAACAAAAAAAAAAACAATTCAAGCACAACCCTCCCTTCCTATTATTCCAGGGTCAGGGAGTGTCAAGTCTTTGTTCATAGTGATGACATTTACTTCCTTTCCACTAAACCGTGATTGGGTAGAAAATAACTGACTTGGCACTCGACTAGTGTGGTCTAACTGAGTGGGTTTGATGTGGGTTTCCTGACAGACTTCACTTGGAATAATATTTAGAGCTCACTAAGAGAAAAAGACAGTGATTTTTCTCATTTAACCACGACTCTGCTCAGTAATCTCCGATAACAAATCAGTGCGTTGAACTCCACCGTAGCTCGCCGTCAAAACTACGTCATGTTGCGTTTACACAAACACTGATCTGTTCGTTCCGGTTGCACTTCCGTTTTTTTTTTTTTTTATCTTGTTCGACCCCTGCGTGTATGGTTTGTGTGTGTATGTGGTTAGCATTACTTTTTCGGTGCAGGACATTACTGTAGAATGGAGTGAAATACCAGTGTTAAGCTACAGTAAAACTTCAAAGCTACGTTTATTTTATTTATTTTTTTTATTTTTTGTAAAGATACATAGCGGCTTAAAATCTCGATTCAGTCCGAGACCGATGCATTACAGTTGCAGTCGGACGCCTTCAACCGCTACAGCGAGAGTACGTTAAAATAGTTCCAAGACCCTTGTTACTCGTGCATGACTTCTTACACTCGCCCATGGTCGCACATGATCAGCCTCAACCACTTGGACCAAACTAGTAAAAAAAAAAAAAAAGTAACGACATTTCTTCAAACCCTGAGGTTCTACAGGACAGGGAAATAAAACCCCTTTGTTTTTTCCTGATGAGATAAGCTGCGAGGTTCTCCTGCATCTGTACGTGTCACTCATGTACTGTGTACTGTATGTGTGTTATAAGTACTTTGGTTTAGTGATGACCCCCCCCCCCCCTGACCCCCCTGTTCTGTTTGTTGTCTGTCACTTCATCCACCATTACTGGTCCTCTCCTGTCCTCTCTCCTCTGTCCTCTCTTACATTTTAGCTACCTCCTGTGACCATACAGCTAAACACCAGGAGAGGTCGACCTGGACTTTAAAAGCAGACAAGTTGGTGCTTCATTTAAAAGTGGCTCTGAGTTGAAAAAATAGGTGTTGAAAAGAACTGTCAAAAAAAAAAACCCCATCAACAACAGATTTTACATTTCCGATCACATCCTGATAACCAAACCGATTGTGCTGGACTAGATCACACACGCCATGATTACATGCCATTTATTGTCCAAACGAATAAAAAGCGCAGACCAAAGTACTCCTGCATGGCCATAGTTTAGGCGTTGACACACAGTGTGTACAGTACTGACTGACGAGGAATGAAAGACCATTGTTACTGCAGTTAAACCAAAATGTCTGAAATACACACACACAAGCGCACACACACGCTTCCAGCGCAAGATCAAAGAGCACGCTTCATCTACTGTCGGAGTTCGAGATGTGTAGAAATCCTATACGAGCCATCAAAGCGCTTGTCGAAGTACTGAATGGAGCGTGGCGTGTTCTTACAGTCACAAAGCCTAGCAGAGATAAAATGGAGTGTGTAGCTGTGTTTCAATGTGTGTGTGTGTGTGTGTTTTTTTTTTATGTTCGTCTTTGTGTCTCTGTACAAACTACTTGAAACCTCCAGAGCTTTAATGAAACATCCCAGACAGGTGATCAAGATCCATTCATGTTGGTGTTTGCATTTACAGCAATATCCACAGTGAGCAACACCTTTAAAAAAGACAGTTCTTTTCAACTCTGTTTTTTTTTTTGTTTTGTTTTTTTTTTGTGATGTGCCATCTTGTCTGCACTTAGACCTATAGGTTTAAACACCACAAAGCCAATTGTCTGCACTTAGGCCTATAGGTTTAAACACCACAAAGCCAAACCCAATAAACCACCTGGAAATGACCAAAATAATCCCAGATTATACACTTTCTTTGGTTATGGTTCTGGTCGTATGTCAGACATGTGCAAAAATCGTAGTGGCAGAGGAAGACTTTTGTCTCAGTGGACATAAACTCACAAGGGCTCTGCTGTGGTTCACCCAGGGGGTTCACTCGATCAGACACTTCTATTCGTTTAGCTCCGATATGTACATGATACGGACAAAGTGTATGTGTAAGAAAAGGCAGATGTTAGCAGGATGGTAATTCACGCTCTCTACTCGAACCAGTAAATCAACCAATGACGTTTGGAGGCTCTGATGTTCGGTGACGGTCTAGTTTCTTTAAAGCCATGGCTCAGGATGCTCTTGTTTTTAACTTTACATAAACACGAAATGTTTATGGTTTCATATGTGTAGGGTTTTGTTGTATACTTTATTGTGCAATATGTTATGACAAAAAAATGCATTTCTGTGGAAAATGAAATTTCTCTTTTTTTTTTTCTTTTTTCCTTTCTTTTTTTTTTTTTGCTTTCTTTTTTTCTCTTCAAGAAATCCTGTTGCCGTTTCTAGATGAAGTAAACTGTGCCAGAAGAATTCAATTCTGATTTGTATTTATTTCTTGTGCATGCTTTCCTCCCTGTTGCTAATACCACTCTTTACTGTTGGCTCTGTTGGATGTGTGAAGCTGTAAAACATTCTAATTCAGGTTATTGTCTGTGTTGAACAATGTAACGGTGTAATTAAAACATGAAATGAAGTATTCATCACCAGTGCTACTTCTCCTCCTTTCAAACACAACTACAACCTGAACCTGGATGGATGGATGGATGGATGGATGGATGGATGGTTGGATGGTTGGATGGATGGATGGATGGATGGATGTGGTAGCCAAAGTTAAGATAAAGAAACATGAATATCAAAAGCCACAACTGCCAATCACATCATAATCTGGTACAACCTGCTCCAAGAAACGATCACTTTCCTGCTAGAGCTACTTACTCTTTGTTTGTTTAGAATAAGATTGAAATAGATAGATGTTCCACAAACAACGTTCAACATTAACTTTCACACTGGTCCCTGACCTTTTTTTACACTGTGGACCCACAGACCAACAGCAGGGACATGAAACACAATAAAGGAAGATATACTTAGATATTACAATTGTTACATATATAATTTATATTATTTTTTCTATTTCATGCTGTGTAGAGGAGTGCAACAATTTGATCTTTTTTTTTTTCAAAATAAAATACAATAATAAATTAAAGAATAAATTGAACTTAAAACTTAAAAAAAAAATAAAAATTTGTGTGTCCGGTACAGAATGATCCACATACAGGTCCATGGCCAGGTGGTTAGGAACGCCTCAGTTAAAGTGAGATTTTTTAAATGCTTATTATTAAATGTTATTGGCTGTAGAAATAATGGGAAATTCTCCCCCAACTGATTAGATCAAAAACACATTTCTGATATGCCAAAAGTCTCAGTTTTCATTAAAAACTGAAAAATAAAATAATAATACAAAAACTGATTCCCTTATTCGTCCCACAGTGGGGAAATTCACAATGTCTTTGCAACCGACATAGGCTGCCACAGGGGGTGCCATTAGGAAACCCTGTGCGCCTGGTTGAAAAACAGACACTGGATCCTAGCTTTAACTGGAATTTTAGGTTCCACAAATTTTAGGATTTATTTTGATTTGTCATTGTTTCGTTTTGATAAACTATTCAATTAATACATTTCTAGTGTACTGGATGTCAGGGCACCAGAGACGGGGGTGGGTGGGGGGGGTGTAAGACTCTGGATACGGCCCTGGAAGAGTCACGTGATTTTAGACTGTCAATCAAAGTGTTGCGCTGCGACCTGCGTCCGCAGGTGCTTTCTATGATCTTATTATCCTGGTTTCCTTATCTCTACCCCGTGGACCGTCCTTCCCGTTAGTGATCTTTTCGGAGAAGCAGTGTCCGGTCGATGTTCTGTCTTCTTACGCCGCTGCAGGTGCCATGTTTGAGCAGTAAGTGAGGGAGAAAGCATGGCGGAGAATCATTCAGAATACGGCTACCTGGAGGAGGGCGAGTGTGCCGAGGATCATTACCCCGAGGACCCGGTGAGTTTTTACTGCCGTCCCGCAGCGGGGTGAGAACGTGAGGGAGATCTGTTTAACTGTGCGTGATAAGTATTTGTTAGTAGGTTCAATATCATCATCATCAGCAGCAGCAGCAGCAGCAGCCTTAAAGTCATCAGCAGCATTAGCAACATCAGCATGATGGTCTGCAGGTTTGTCACGTTGCAGCAGGACTAGTCACTGCTCACTGCACCCAACCTCCTATTTAAATTTCCCATTATTATTATTATTATAATAGTTGTTCCTAAGATGTCATTCATGTCTTAAAAGGTTTAAAGGTTTACTAATCGACATCTATTGGTGAAGTAACATGATGTGGGAGAACATTGAAGCATTTTTTTAAAGAAACACAACAGTGATTTCTTACATGTGGAATAATTAAAATAACGTGATCCAATATGGCCGCCACCTTGGAAAGACCCCACACCTGGTGTAGGTAAATGCTACTCTCCAGATACAAATTCACAATTTTCGAGTGATTGCGAGCTTAAAATGTTCTACAGACATTTTGGGCACATGGAATTTTTTTGAAATAGTTTAACCAGAATTGACAAACTCCATGCGCTGGTAAGAACTAAGACTTTGCAAAAAAACCAGGTGCATAATAATGTTAATGCTACGTATGACTGGAGACCGTATGATTAGAGACTCGGTTTAAAAACCTTGCTGCTTCAATTAGCAGTTCTATCAGCTTTAACCATTATGAACAATTGCTAATACCCAGCATCCTCCCTGGTCATAGACATTAGCAAAACTTTATCCCTAACTATTTTGGTCTTAGTTGCATTGATGGCAAACAAATATGGACGTGTCACATGAGCCCATGCTGTCACTGCTTTAGAACACGCCTTCCTTAGTGTCTCTCATTTGACATCCTTCTACAGCTCTGGATTAATATCTTTAGTTGTTGTGTTTCAGGAACTTGCAGCCATCAAGGCCAGGGTTCAGGAGCTAGAGATGGAAGAGGAGACGGAGCGACTGAAGGATGAAGACGGACCAGAAATGCATCTAGTGACCAGTAGTCCTCACCCTGGTGAGAGAGCCTGTAGGCGGTGGTTCATGTACCATCTGTTCATGCCCTGCTTTTCATCAGCAAACTGGTAGGGTTTTTTTTTTTTTTTTTTTTTTTTTTTGAGCCAGGTATGTGGCAATACGACCAATGGGCAGGTGTTTCCACTGTAACCCCCACCAGCTGACTAACACCTGTGACATTTCACTGTGGTCACGATGGTGATCACACGTGTCTCATCACTGTGCTTTCCCTTAGCCATCTAACCCTGTTTATTTTTTTTTTTCTTCTTTCCTTTCACAATTTTGTAATGTATTGTCAAAACTGATGCAAGAAATGGGTACGCTGGTGAAAGCTGTTGCTGTTGGTTCTACCTGCAGTGATCTGTTTCTGTTTGTCCTAACAGCTCCTTTCTACAATATGACTCCAGAAGAGAGGATAGATGCAGACAACAGATCAATATATGTAGGAAATGTAAGTACTGTACACTAGCATGTTTCTTCACATTCTTCACAACACCTCTAGCCTGACACTCTTGTCAATTCCCAGGTTGACTACGGAGCCACTGCAGATGAGTTAGAAATCCATTTTAATGCCTGTGGGCCTGTTAACAGAGTAACCATTCTGTGTGACCGGTTCTCTGGACATCCCAAGGGGTGAGTTTATTTAAAAAAAAAAAAAAAAAAAATTTGACTAAGAATGGCTAACCTTGATAGCCTTTGTACCAATTTGCTGATGAACAAATGTACACTTTTTTTTTTTTTTTTTTTAAACCTCTCCAGTTTTGCGTACATTGAGTTCTCCGATCGAGACTCTGTGCAGAGTGCCATCGGTTTGCATGAAACCTTGTTCAGAGGAAGAGTTCTCAAGGTGAGAATGCTCAGAATTAAAACCTATCTCAGTGACTCTAATGTGTAAAATATGGACTGTATTTGATTATGGAAAGCATTGGTATAAATGTGATTAATCTGGTTAATATCAAATGTCGTGACCAAAAATCATGTTTCTTTGGTTTGTAGGTGTTACCCAAGAGGACCAACATGCCAGGAATCAGCACAACCGACAGGGGAGGCCACAGAGGTGGGCACACCAGAGGAAGAGGCAGGGGATTCCGTCCCCCCAGATTTGCCAGTAGCTCACGAGGACGGTTCCGATACCAGCTGACCAGGCCTCAACATCAAACGCCCCACCCCTACTACGGAGGCCAGCCAGTGGCGAAGAGACAGTGGGGGCAGATGGACTATCCTGAACAGATGCCCAAACGTTACCCGTGTCTCCTTCTCATCACACCACCATCGGATGAGCTGGGAGAAGGATCCAGCGGGCAACCATACCCTCAACAACGTTAATTCTACCCTTCCTGATGGTTGAAGCGATTCAACTTTTAATCTGTTCTTCTTCAGCATTACTCACTGGAGTGTGTATGTGTATACCAAGAGAATGGACCGAACTACCTTCACCTCTACAACACTCTAATTAGGTGAGACGTAAAGAAACGAGATCTGAACACAGCGATTGTTTCCATTGTGAGTTGATGTCGCTGTGGATGCACGGACAGTCTCTGAAAGAATGCATTTGCACCTCTTGATGTTTTTACAAACTGAATGTTTTGCTGCTGACCTTAATGTAAATTATGAGGCTCTGTGTATAATTTTTGCTATGTAAGTAAATAAATAAATAAAAGATGTTGTACTTAATGGACACATGTAGTGCTGAGCAAGTTTTATTACAGTAATTCTTTCAAAAATGAAACGTAACACTTGAACAAAAGCAATACAGAATAACGACAAGTAATTTGATCTTGACATCAGCCGGTTTGCATCATCATCCCTGATACGATTCCATCAAAGGCCCTGAAATTAGCATTACAACCGATTACAAATCTTAAAAAAAGTAATCTCACCAGAAAAGACATCACAAGACTCGACTCACTTAGACTGGATTTGGTCTCCAGGGTTGTGGAATGGGTTGCACATGACATCAGTAAAGGAGTTGTGCAATTTTCTGAACATCTAGAAAAAGATGTATATAAAGGTTGAACAATGTCACCATTCCACTAATGATCAACACTAATGTTCTAGGAAGGAAACTGAACTACTTATTGTGACACTGAATACCACTGCATAAACTTGACCTCTGCTTTTATAACCAAAGTGATGGATTAAAAGCAGAGGTCCTCATCTCAGTGGCAATTTGGCAGCTGGTGGACTCAAACCTGAACCCTTCTGGACCCAAGTCCCTTTCCTTAACCACTAAGACACAACTGTCCATATTGGGTTTAATCCAATTTTTCCAGAAAAAAAAAAAAAAAAAAACATGTTAATGTACAATAAAACATCAACCCCATAAGTCTTATTAGATTTACCAGACTATTTCCTTTATTACATAGTAGATTGGAGCCACTGACTGTAGAGAATGTCCTTGACAACATTCTCTTTGTGTCAAGACTGTATGTAACAGTACCTCAATCTTACAGATCATTGGTTTAACATCTAAAAATGTTTATTAGAAATGTTCAGTACGTACGCTTCTGATTTCATTGTCCCGCAACGATGTGTTTGAAGAATCCACAACAATGACAAATTTCACCTTGGAATTGGTCACATAACCATATCTGTATTACCAGTCAAGGATATTTTCTTAAACGTTTCACTTTGCAGAGTAGGTTTGCAGATATTACCCTATATTCTGTTTCCAGTTGTATTTCAAACTGAGTTTAACATTGGATCACAACAAACATGGAAACAAACGGAATGGAAAGGAAGGGATAGGAAATGGTTTAAATTGTTTGTCAAAATGTATTACGAATATAAACCTACTATATCAGACAAGCAAAGATTATGAATGTGGTTAGAACCCAGACTCTGCATCGTCCAAAATCAAGCAGGATTAGACATCAAATTACTTTAGGTATGAGTGTGAGTTGATTTCCCCCAGATGTTGTCCTGTGATGGACAGATGATCTGTCATGATTAACTTGACCTTCTGCTTACTGAAAACTTAAAACGAGTAATCTGTCATTTGTTCTGGCCAGCTTCATTCTACATATTGTACTATATTATACTATACTATATTTATTGCATATAATTTTCTTTGCTCGTCAAAGCATGAAAAGCAGAACAATTAAATACTCTTCTGCTGTTGAAGATTTTTTTGTCTTGCTTCAATTCCTGCCAGTATACCTGCATTGTCTATAACTAAACAGGCTGTGATTTTAGTCGATATGAGGTCATTTAAAGCTAGAAGATTAATATTGTTTGATTTCATATACTTTTTGTGAGGTTTTTGTTTGGTGGTGTGCCATAAGTTTTTTCCTGATTTTATATATATGTGTGTGTATGTGTGCCATGACTCAAAGGAGGTTGGGAAACACTGCATGAGGACACATTAATACACCTCAAACCCAGCAGTATTATAGATGTGTTGGACACATATTTATAAATATGGGAGTTACATTAGATCAATATGAATGGTCTGATGTAACAATAAATACTGAGCAGAGGAACAAAGGATACACTTTGTAGTCTTCCGTCGGATACAACAGACCCAGGTACAGCTCTCTCTGGTCTGCCAGGGATTTACCCACAGCTGAAATCTTCTCCTCTACCACATCCAGTGAAGTGTGCACTGTGTAGTGAAACTTAAGCTCATTTTGTGTGGGAACATTACGGATATACAGCGGGTAGTTCTAGAGAAACACCAAAGGACAAAAGATGGAGGAGAAAGCCAGTTAAAAACTCAACTTGTCAAGTCTACGTAGAATTGTAGCAGGTGCTAATGCTAATTCTCACAGCACATCTCCCACATATGCTAGCTTAGAAGCCGCAAGACTCAGACAAATCAACATAATAGCGCGATTCTGACCATTTCCATACACGCGCTGTCAAATTTAACAACAGATATTTAACACATATAACAGAACAGAACTGACAACCGTTACCTCCTTAGCGATGACAGCTATACACACCGCCATGTTTGTTGACGTACCTCCACTGTGGGTTCAGCTAGCGTCACGTGATACGCTGCATTCAGCGCGGTTGGAAAATAGAAAACATTTATGGCTACTATCTTACGTATTTATTTAAAAAATATATTATATGTATTATTCATATTTATGTAATAAAATAAGCAAATACACTAATTTATATTTATATATTTTGTACTTTTTTGTTATTGTGTTCAAAAGCTAAATGTTTGCTATTCATAATCCATGATGCATGTTCATAATAATGTAGTGTCACCCAGGTCAGCGAATGCAACACATGCTAGACAGATAGATGCTACTACGATTCTCTTTATCCATAATAAAAAGAAAATATCACAAAATAGTAAAAATTATGATAATAATAAAACTTCTATTTATAGTACTTCTATACTATTACAAACTAACGCCAGGAACGCCGATACTATTACAAACTAACGCCAGGAACGTTTTGTGTTTTGTGCGCATATGCGTAAACATTGAGCCGAAAGACGCGCTCGAAGACCAGCATCAACATCCAGCGTCCACTTCCTGAAAGCAGATGTTCATGTGACTGTTTAATACGAAGATGTCTGGTCTAGCTTTGGCTCTGTTTACTTCATTAATATGCTGTTCTCTGGCACTAAAATCACCAAATGAATCACTTCCAAATATTATCATAATGCTCATGGATGACGTGAGTATTTCTGTTTTTCTGCTATTTGATTAAATGCATTAAAATCACCTTTAACATGAAAAACAACTTCCTCATTGTCAAGTGATGTTAATTTCCTTTTCTCCATAATAGGACACTCCAGTATTAGTCCTATAGCTTTTTTATGTGTCAGCATATGTTGCCTATGTTGTGACATTGTCTATTCTGAATTTGTCAGTAATATTCCCTGTGTTCCTCAGATGGGATGGGGGGATTTAGGTGTGTTTGGCCAGCCTTCAAAAGAAACACCCAACCTAGATGCGATGGCTGCTCAGGGAATGCTGTTTCCCAACTTCTACACTGCAAATCCTCTTTGTTCACCATGTAAGCCGGTATATGTTTTTGGTAAAACAGGTTCTGAACTAGCACCACCTGATGCACACCTCTGTTAACTAAGTGTCTAAAGTGAACACGTAAGACAGTATAGGATTTAGGTAAAATAATAATTATGCAAATATCAATTTGAATTAGAAAAGTATTCCTTAATTACAAAAATGTCAACGTATTCAAGGACAATAGAAATTATCCCGAGGAGTTTGTGTTCAGAGCATCATTATAGTCTCACATTTTTCTACCTAATCTCTAATGAAATACATTGTGAATTTTTAATTAAAAATAGACAGCAAATACATCTTTGTGTTTGAAATGTCTGCTGTTGCACCGTGTTTTCCTCTAAACAGGATTATAAAAATAAAAAAATTAAGGACAAATAATTACAGTAAAACGTATATTATGGAATGCATTGAAAGAATGTCAGGGGATCTCTTATGTTTTGCCAGAATAACAAATGTTACTCAGCACAAAAATAACAATTGTCTGCTTTTTTTTCCTGGAATTTTATCCACAGCCAGAGCTGCACTGCTCACCGGGAGGTTACCTGTCAGAAATGGTTTCTACACCACAAACGCACATGCACGAAATGGTAATCTTCCAGTGTTGTTTTATTAATAAGAGTTTTAATATAAATTATCTTTGTATTTACTTTTTTTTTTTACTGTTTTCGAAGCATACACTCCACAAGAAATAGTAGGAGGAATCTCCAAGGATGAGATTTTGTTACCCAAGTTGTTGAAAGAAAAGGGATACACCAGCAAGCTGGTCGGCAAGTGGTGAGATCTTTATTCTTTATTATTCCAGATTTCATTAGAAGTTTTCTTTCGCTTGTTTTAAGAGTGATGGAAATATTTATAAGGCGTTAATTGGAATTTTAACTAAAACCAGAATGAGACAGCGTTGAATATCTCACATTTGTCTTTTGTTTTATTGCTGTTTTATCATATTTTTATGATCAGGAAAGTTCATTTTTATTCTTGTTATGTTTATTTCTCTCGTCAATAAATTTGCATATTTAAAAACAAATTCACAGCAGGTATGGTTTCTGGGGTTGTGCATTTTTTTAAAGATAAGAAATAAGATTTGTTGAGGGTCAGTAAGCAGGTTAGAATTGCTTTTTAAATAACTACACAGATATTTCCTATCTGGAGTATTTTTTTTTTATTAATTGCACACTCCAAAACCCATTTCTGACTACTCTTTTTGGAACTCCAGGCATTTGGGCCACAGACCAGAACATCTTCCTCTGAACAATGGTTTTGACGAATGGCTTGGTTCACCAAACTGCCACTTTGGCCCTTACAACAACATCGGTAGACCCAACATCCCCATCTACTTCAATTCCGAGATGGTCGGCAGGTATGATCACACTGAGGCAATCAGATACACAACAGCAGACACAGAAGAAAATCTATAAAAAGCCTTTTCTGCCTCTGACTCAGAGGAATAGTTAGTCTCAATGAGTGGAGTGTCTCTTCTCCTCCTCCTGCTCAGTACCAGCTGTGCTTGTGTTTTTCATTTTCCGCCCATTTGTTTTTCCCCAAAACAGCCATATGTGTATTCGGGGTCATTGGAACTGGCAGCCGGGCGTGTTTTTCGCTTAGCCATGGGTTTAATCAGCGCTGCATACCTAGGCCCTGGACAGACAACGCGCGAGCACATATAAACACACATACACGGAGGAAAAACACATAGACTCTCAAGAGATTGTTAGGTTTGGTTGCCTGTCTGCGAGGACACCTGGAGGAAGTGAAGCATATGAAAGAGAGAAACCTGTCACCACTTCTGTGTTTGCCGCGTCACGCTTCAGCAGAGTCTCATAAATGTTCCCTCTGCTTCGCTCTGCCTAGACTTCCCCAAATGTGTCGTTTCCCAAAAAAAATCCTCTACAAACACAGTCGACAGGAGAGCCGTTCGCCGTGGCTGTCCCGATGATATTTTCTTTAAGTGTTTTTTTTTTATTATTGAAGGATAGACTGAAAATGAACAATAAACAAATAAGAGAGAACATGGTGTGGCTTTCAAGTTCACGTGTCAAACCCGTTTGTCTTTGCAGGTACTACGAGGATGAGTTCGTGATCGACGGGAAGACGGGAGAGTCCAACATCACTATGATGTATCTGAATGTAAGATGTTTCGTTATCAAACTTCATTTACAATGGCTTAATTCGTGGATACGTCAGAACTATAAATGCAGCTTCTACATTAACAGCCTTTTGACATCAGGTGGTGTCAATCAAAATTCAATTATCTCAGCTTATTAAAATGCATCTGTTAATGAAACGATATGAATCCCACATGTTCTCTGTAAGTGTTAATTGTTCGGTTTTGCACAATTGCTACCTATAATCTATGCAATCGTTCTAGCTGAAGTGTGATGTAGAGACAGACGGCGTTTAATGTCATTGCCGAGAACAAGAGTCTTTGAGTCCAGGATTGTGAAGCTTATTTTAGCATTTGTTCAAGAGCGCAAACCTACAAATGTGTTTGTCCAAGAGAGAAGTGGGAACTTAAAAAAAAAAGTGGAATCAGGCTCCGATCATTGACACTTCTCACCTCTACAGGAGAGTATGGAGTTTATTCTGCGTCAGTCCAAGGCGCACCGACCCTTCTTCCTTTACTATGCACCCGATGCTACCCATGCTCCTGTCTATGCGTCGAAAAAATTCCTGGGGAAGAGCCAGCGAGGCGTGTACGTCCTATCCGTCATTTCAACCAAAATCGGTGGTTCCCAAATCTGACACATTCAGCTCTTTCTTCAAAACTTTATTCAATTTACTTAATTATAATTCCATGCAAAACTTCTGTTCTCTATGGAGAATAGCAAAATTACAATTACATTACACATTAGTAAAATTTCCTCACTCTCCGCCCCTCACTTTGGGAACCACTAACCTGATTCATGATTTCAGAAATTGCTTTAATTCCTATGATGAATGACTGTGGCTATGATTGGCCGCAGGTACGGAGACGCCGTGATGGAGCTGGACTACAGTGTTGGTGTGATCCTGTCCTGGCTAAAGCAGCTGGGCATTGACCAAAATACCTTTGTGTTCTTCACATCTGACAATGGAGCTGCTCTCTACGCCGCAAAAGAAGGTAGGCACCAAAAAAAAAGCGGAAAAAAAAAATTCTCCTCTTATTCACCCTGCCGCAAAAGAAGGTAGGCATCAAAAAAACAGAAAAAAAAAAAATTCTCCTCTTATTCACCAGAAAAAAAAAAAAAATTCTCCTCTTATTCACCTAGAGTTGAGGTAGTAATGTCCCCAGAACACGAGGAGGATGTTTACATGAAATGAGCACTCTGTTAAAAACCCTCCATTTATTTAATTATTCCTCCTCCTGATTCACCAGGTGGCAGCAATGGGCCCTTCCTCTGTGGAAAGGAGACCACTTTTGAAGGGGGCATGAGGGAGCCAGCTATCGCTTGGTGGCCTGGACAGATTGAAGAAGGCACAGTAAGTATTAGTAGTCACCTCAGTCAGGTGGCACCTTACTAAATATCGTAGACTCCAGATGAAAATTTGAAACTTTTCCTCAACTATAATCAGGGCTAAAAAAAAAGAAGAAAATAATTAGTTGTCAGTGAGATTTCTAACAAAATCTCCCCTCTGACGATTTGTTGGTGAAAAGTGAAAAATAGGTCTGAAATTCAGACCTATTTTCAAGACAAATGGCTTAATTAAGTGGATTAACTGCGTCGCCACTCTCTTCCTTTGTTTTTATTTCACACCTGCTTCACTTCCATTCTTAAATGTTGTCATTTCAACCCCATAACGAATGCTGCCACCCCTGAGTACGACCGTCACCGTGTCCGTCCAATCACGGAACTCTAAAGAACACATGAACTTTGTGAATTTTTTCCACTGATTTCCTCAAATAATTTTGGCTGGATTCAATCCCCCCAAATCTCCCCTGCTTACTCTCCCTAATTTAACCCTCCCCTCCCTCCCTCACCCCACCCACCCACACTGTGATCCCCTAAGCCTGTGCGTTCTGCAAATGACTTTTAATTGTATTAGGGGCAGCTGTGACACGGGGCTGTGACGCAGAGGGATTTGGAGGCAGAGCGAGCGGAGGCTGGAGTCTGCAGTAAGCCTGGCCCCTGGCTCATCTCACAGGGGTGTGCTGGGCCCTGATAGCGCCGCAGAATAGTGCAGGAGAGGGGGATTGGGAGCGTCTTAAGCAGCTAATCTGTTTGTGTGTTTGCTTGGGTTGGATTGAGCTGTAATGAGGACTTCAGTATCTGAATATGCCAGGCGCTCAGGATAAAAGAGCGGGAGGAGAAGAGATGGGGAGAGGGGACGGAATCAAGGATGAAGTAAAAAAAAAAAAAAGAAAAAGGATGTGGTTGATGTAAGGAGTACGGTCGGGAGACGAGGAGGAAAAGGAACGTTAGAGACGCCGGCACGTCGAGGCGCTCCGCAGTGTTCGCCGACTACATTACGACTGTGTTATTTCTCTGTCTGCTTTTATTCTGCATAGGTGCTCGTGTGTGTGTGTGTGTGTGTGTCACAGATAACTTTCTCGGCTGTTGGTGCAGAGATAATAGAGTATTTACCGAATGTCATTACGGGTCACCACAAACACACCACTGTGTGTGTCTCTGTGTTTGCAAAGACAACGTGACAAGGATCTGTAGATCCTCCCTGAAGCCTTTCTGGTGTTAGAACGACAAAGCTGCATTGTTAGAGCTACTGTACTGCGCTGCTCGGGATTTATGACTCTGTGTTGTGTGGGTGGGAGGACACAGCAGACCCAGGGTTGCCCCCCCCCCCCTCCCCTCTACTCCATTTTTTAGTCCTCTGTAATCTCTGATGATCTGTGCATTGAAAATTCCATAAGCTCTGAGGGTAAAATAATAGAGACAACAAACATCCAGGCGAGCTTTTGTCGAGGTTTAACACAGCAGCTGGGAACAAACCAGTCGTCTAGCATTAAAGGTCCACTGTGTAATATTTAGAGAGGGTTTACTGGCAGAAATTAAATATGCTAGACATAAGAGCGTTTGTGTAAGTGTATAATCACTTTAAAATGAAAAGATTTTTTTGTTTGTTTCAGAAGGCTTAAATCAAGCCTTTCAGATGTACAGTACTGTGGGCTCGGAGCTGGCTTGAACATCTGTTTGGTTTGTACAGACGCCTGCATGTTATTGTGTTCGCTGCCTCGGAGATTGAACCGGTGTGAAAACAAGAGAGAATAAGTCCACCTGCAAAAAGTCGATTTCTAAGGCAACGAGGAAATGAGAATTTGAGAAAATGAGAATTTGAGAAAATGAGAATTTGAGAAAATGAGAATTTGTGTCATGGACAAAGACGTCACTGCAACAGTTTGGGGAAGACCAGTGGGATGAAGTACATGTACGTTATGGTACTATGAGACGTTTGTCGTGTCGGATGACATTTTAAAATCATCTATAGCAGGGGTGTCAAACATACGGCTCGGGGGCCAAAACTGGTCCGCTAGGCCCAGGGCCGTCAAAATGAGTTTGACGGCCCTGATCTATAGGATATGCATTTCAACTTGTGTTCATTTACCGTCGTCAATCAAGAAATATTGTCAATTCATTAAGTAGATTTATGTTCCATAGAGGAAATAGTCATAAATATAAAAACACAAACATGCACAACAGCTGTAGTGAAGTTGGTCTCTTATCCACCAATCACATCTAATCACATTATTAGATATTAGATATAATAGGATTAGATATAAAAAAAAATTTAAAAATTAATTAAATTTTTCACGTTTCCATCAAGGCCCTGACGTGAATTAGGGAAGTAGGCCGATGCAAAAGTACTGCTTGTGTGTCTGTGGTCCAAGTAAGGACAGGAGACTGGTGTCCCCCACACTCCCAGTACTGACTGGGACTGGAGCACATGTAGAGGAATGAAGAAGTAAGGGCGGCCTGAGCACAGGTGCAGATTCAGCATTCTTCCACAACCCGCGGGGCTGGGATGATGAGGGGGCGGGGGCTGCAGTAACAAAGATGCCGAGAAAGATGCCGAGGTGGGTGGGGTAGGGACGGACCCCTGCAATGTCGTGGAGCGTCGCGATGCCTTTGTTGTGTTTTATCAGGCGGCAGACACCGAGGCAGAGCGGCAGCGACGGGTATAGAAGTGCTGCCTCCTTCAGATAACCAACATCAGCACTCACAACGCCGAGAAAGAAAAAAAAAAAAAAAAAAATGGGAGTCAGAGACCCGGCCGTGAATGGAGACTGATGAGTCACACAAAAAGCAGAAGAATACAGGCTGACAAAATAATGAAGTTCTGTACTGACTGCCAAACAAGGGCGAGCTCATAAAGGAAGGAAATGAAAGGCAGAACCTCACATGATAAAGTCTGAAAGGTTTGGTCGTCGGTCAAACCCAAAATGTTACGTGTTCCTCTCTGGTCCTTTTACTGTTTCTTCTTCTTTTGTTTGTCTGTGTGACCTGAGCAATACATGAAGTAAAGGAATAAATCGTAGTTTTTTATACATGTTTGAGGACGAGCATCTGGGTGTGCAGAGAAATCAAGGATTTTGCTGTAGAACATTTTTGTGGCTACCACTGAAATTCATTTCAGTGCTTGGAGCTTGCTTGAGTGTGTGTGTGTGTGTGTGTGTGTGCACATCTGTGCCTGTATGTGTGCTGGCTGCCGATAGGAGCGCAGCGGCACATGGTGGTGCAGCTGCAGAGGCCTGATAGCGCTATCTGATCGCGAGCGTGCCGTAGCCCTCTAAGGCTCGCTCAGGAGAGAATGGAACGGAAGATCAAGGATGACAGCGAAAAAATGGCATTTTATCTGAAAATAGTTCAAAGTTTATAAATAAAATAAAGCTTTTCAGCGGGACTGGGAGAAGGAGATAAAACACCAGCTTGCTCCAGCTCTGTCTGCCTGTGTGCCCTGGCCTTGTCCTCTTCTCATTTCATTTCAGCTTTTTTTGCTCCTGCTCTGCTTCTCAACCCAAAAATACAAACTCATTCAAAAAAATGTATAAAAAAAAAAATTTACGTATTTACAAAGAGCCACTAATGACTTTTTAAAAAAATATTTTTGCATAAATGAAAAAATTGCAAACATCCTATTCTGACTATGAATTGTTAAATATATAGTTCTCAGGACTTTTGGTCCAGCAGAGGTAGAAGCACAGTGCATTCTGGGGCAGCTGTGCACAAATGGTAAATGCCATGGTAGAGCCAGCTGAAAAAACATTGTTTAATAAAAATATTAAAACTAATTTTATTATACTAAACATAAGTCACGTGCCTCGTGAAACATACATGTGAGCCAGCCGTAAATATCAGTAGTACCTACTGTCCTGCTTCATGGGTACATCAGTGCTGCACGCCAGCTGATCAGTGGAGCTGCACATCTCCAACACGGTTGTACTTGACACATAAATAAATATCATCGTCTTAAATGATCTTAAAACAGTGGTTCTCAAACTGTGGTACGTGTATCGCCAGTGGTACGCGAGCGCTCTCTAGTGGTACGTGGGGAAAATTCATATTTTCACATTTACATTTTCAATTGAATATATCTGAAACATACCAGGCATAATTAATACAACATTTAAACAAACATTTCTAAACATCTCTCCTGTGGTGGAAGCTAACAGTGAAGGCCTCTGCTGCTGTATTCTAATGTTGGTCATCATGGTGGTACTCAGAGAGCTCCATGTTTTCTGAGGTGGTACAGAGTAGAAAAACTTTCAGGACCACTGGATTAAAACAAATGAAAGCACGCCACAACAGTGTTAGTTTTATGGTGCAAAGGGTTAAAAATCTTACATTTTTTTTCAGAAATGACATGAAGAAAAATCAGCAATGGTTCAGTTCAATACTCAGGATCGGTATCTTTCCGATACTGATCAAAATTGCAGGATCAAACCTCCAAAAAAACAAACAACTATAACTTTTCGCGACTTGCCTTAAACGGGGACACTATCGCCACAGCAACAGCCGCCTTCGTGCTGAAGGAGGAAAAGAAAGTATTGGATTGATCTAGATGTCGGCATATACTCTAAGTTGCAGGACTGGTGTCAGACACGACACCCTAATAAAAATATATATTATATGAGTCAGGGACAAACTGTCCACACATTCCTTCTCATGTCCTCGCACTTTAGTGTTGTAAAAGCCAGCTACCGCTGATCCAGAGTCAGGATATGACCTGAAACACCGACACAATCACAGAGCAAAATCATTTATGTACAAAACGAACGTTTAGGCAGTCGTTTTACTGGGATTTCTGAAAACAACATTTCATTGAAATCGATTCCCATGGGTGGATTAATAATCAGGTTGAATGTAAATGTTAACTGTCCCCCCCCTCCATCTCTCTCAGACCCATCTTCTACTACCGAGGGAACGAGCTGATGGCTGTGAGGCTGGGACTGTACAAGGCACATTACTGGACCTGGAGCAACTCGTGGCAGGAATTTAATAGCGTGAGGATTTTTTTTTCTTTCTTTCTTTCCGTTGGTTTGTTTTAGAACACTAACTCTGTCTCCTCACCGTTTGGCCCCTCCCTCTGCGATTCCTCTAATCTGACTCTCTCACACACACACACACTTGAACACTTGCTTGGGTTGTCTTGAAAATGGCTCATCAGTTGACTGCTGCGTACATCAGAGCGTAATGAATATTAAAGAGCCCCCGCATCGGCAAACTTACATCATTCATCAGCCAGTTGACTTGTTTGTTCAAACTCCAGTGGAGATTTTTCCTCCGCTCAATTTTCATACCCTTCCTCACCCACTCCCCCACCCACCCCGCCCCCCTGTGGTGGGCGTGCACATTTGGCATGATGTGGGGTATTGGAAGAAGGCTAGAAGCCAGCAGTTCTCACAGACATAATCACATCAGTAAAGTGCTGAATAAATAGATGATGAGGAGGAATGTGACACCTCGGGAAACAGGATAGTATTGCTTTTCTTCTCCGCTCTGTCCATAAAAAAGAAAACCCCAAAAAAAAAACAAAACAAAAACAAAAAACACTGTCCTCGTCTCTGCTTTTCCTGTTTTGCAGTTGGTTTTATGCCCCATCGCTCGCTTAAATTGCTCTCTCCTTCAGGGCCGCCGAATCAATAGCAGCCTGCTTTATCAACTCAGGTGAACTCAAGTGGAACTTCACAAATAATGACATCTGATTGCCTGCAGTTGCCTATTGATTCGGCGCATGTACATGACAGCGAGGCAGACGGGAGATCACACGTATTTGTGGCGACAGATGTAAAAGTCTCGTCTGCTCTTATGATTCTCAGATTTCTTTTCCTGGTAACTGTAAAACCCAATTTAAGGCCGAGCGGGCAGGTCACGCGTTAATCTGAAATCCCACCGTCGTCGACAGACGCAGCAAACAGACAAATTGGTAGTAAATAACACGTTCTAAACAAGCCTCCCAAAACACAATTAGGTTGCCAGGTTTTTCAGGCAAGTTCAGAAAAACAAAAACAAGCCAGAAGCTGCTGTTAACGTTTACTAACATCCCATCTGTGTGAAGCTGGCAACTGAAATTAACATGTGAAATAGGTTGGACGTAAGAAAGGCAATTCAGTCGTCACTTTCAACCAAAATAATTGGGCACGTCTGGTAAACAAAATATTAAAAAAAAAAAAATGTAAAAAATTTGTTAAAAAAAAATAGAATAGGTCCTAAATTTTTTTTTTTTTTTTTTTTTTTTAATAGACTAAAGGCCCCGGCTGCCTTGACTGGGATCCACACTCAGATGCTCCAGCGTCTTATCTTGGCTGCTGCTGCTCTGCTCCACTTTAAAAGGAGTCTTCTTGTATCTGTAGCATTAATGTCAGAGCAGATATGCGCTTCCTGCTGCTACGTCTTGGGTGTAAGAGACCGAGTCTCTTACACTCTGGGGGCAGAGGGTTCTTCTCTCCTTTCAAGAAAGATACAGGCGCACAGGCCTTTCCCCTGCTGCTCCTCTGGGGGGCAGAGGGTTCGTCTCTCCTTTCATTCATTTCTGCATTTCTAATGCTTTAAAAAAAAAAAAAGAAAAAAACAGGACAAGTCTGGATCATTGGGGGCTCTGAAGGTTGGAAGGTGTGTTTCTCTCGCTGTCAGACTCACTCATGCATCCACACACACACACACATTCCTTCTCCTCTATATGTATTTTGAGGCGCTCTGTCGAGTGATCTCCGCAGGGGGGCAAAAGCACCGCCTTCCAGATGAATGTTCTCTCAATATTAGTTGTGCTCATCAAAATGTGTGCGCGTGTGTGTCATGTGTGTTCTTGAGGGGTGAGTGAGTGTGACTGAATCATAATGAGATCACTGACAGACCTGTGAGAATAGGCTGAAGGAGCAGGAGCAGAGGTGCGGGGTTGTGAAGGGGAGGCAGGAGACGCGAAGGGACTTGAACCTTTTCTAAGATGCTGCAACTGCGGCTGCATAAATGATACAAGAGAGTCTGTCGACTGACAGCACCAAAGGAAGCGGAGCGCTTCACGTGACCTGCAGTCAGATCTGTACGGTCGACTCTGTTCAAACCTGAGTATAGTCACCTACTTACACCAAGGGGGTGTCAAAGTCGAATCCACAGTGGGTCAAAATTAAAAACTGGGACGAAGTCTCAGGTCAAACTTAATATTTGTTGAAAAATTGATGGCGATTGTGCACGTTTTCCCTTCTCTTCAGATCTGTAGTTTTCATACGGAAACTAACTTTAGTTTTGCGTAAACAATTTAAAAAAAAAAAAATTTCACAAGCTAACAACAAAAAAACCCAAAATGTATGTGCTAACATAGCTCATACACCGCTAATACTACTAATCCTGTCAGTATAGAGAGGGTATATTTTGGTGGGCCAACTCTAGTACACATTTGATATGATCTTGCGGGCCCAATATAATTACATTGCGGGCCAGATTTGGCCCCCGGGCCTGAGTTTGAAACATGTGATTTACACAGATGGACAAGAGTCATTTAAAAAACAGAAAAGTTCAACAGTTGATTGATGATATTAAATTTTTCATACGGGTCAAATATCAGTTCTTCAGTATATTTTTAGCTAACATTGACATTGACAAATACTGTAAATATATTAACACTGACATAACATTGTTTCTCGTGACAGGGGATCAACTTCTGTCCTGGTCAGGAAGTTATAAATGTGACCACTCATGAACAGAGGGATCACACACTGCAGCCACTCATCTTCCACCTTGGGAAGGATCCAGGGGAGAAGTATCCAATACGGTGAGAGAGAAATGATGACGCTTTTTGGAGCAGGCTTACAAAGAGAGTTAAGAACAAGAGAAAGGGTTCAAAGATTCACATCACTGCTGATTCGGGTATTAATAATAATGACGATAAAAAGGGCCAAGCAGAGAGATTTTAGTAGAATAGAAAATCAGATTCAAATTTGAACCGAACTAACAGTTAATGTACCTTTTGTAATTCGGTAAATAAAGAATTTTTGAACAGCAGGATCGATGAACTGTTAACATGTCAGTTAAATGAAAAACCACAGAAAAGTGTTTGTTGGACCTACACTATAAATAACTGATACAGTTCTAGAAATACATCATTAAGTATGATGTATAATAAATAAAATAATACTTTTCAATCGTTAACCAGTTGCCTTCCATTTTCAGACGTGATATTTACACGTGGGCGAAAACATCAGCTCCAAAGACCGATGACCCGACCGCCTTTACTGCAGTTAGTTTATATACATTGAATATTTATGTGACCTTTACCAAAAATGCAAACGGCCGTCATGACTAATGCATGTTGGGGTTCATCTGCGATTCACTCTGATGAGCGAATATTCCTTCTGTTCACTCTTCCCTTTGGCCTCTCCTCTGCCATAAACTGTGACTCTGACCTTTGGTGGCTGCTTATTGCATCTCTGCTGCTTGTATCTTAGAGCGGCCTCATCTCCTCATCTACCTCCGGCTCACACTGCTCCCAGTGAAACTGCAGAGTAGAAACCATTTGCCTTTATCTTTTAGCAGAGGAGGAAAAAAAAAAAAATCAAAAATCAAAGCAAACACACCCAGTCGTGTGTTTTGCTCGTCGAGACGTTAATGTAAAAATGACGATCCTTCCCTGGGGAGAGGCCAGTCAATGTGTCTTTGAAGGTCACATGAGAGCGTTCTACACTAAGACCTCTTCAGTACTTTAATCCAAACACTGAGCCTCACGTTTTCCCCTGTTGCTTTTTTTTTTTTCTTTTTTCTTCAGCACTTACTGATATGCATCTTTGCTCACTCCTCACCACTCAGTCGCCGTCCCTCAGCATCTACTGGGACATTTCTGCTTTATCCTAGTTAAGCGTGTGTGCATGTGTGTGTCCGTGCACGTTCGCATGTGTGAGTTTTGGCCGTGCGCTCCCAGCTGGACCGGCGGCCCGGCCGTCATTAATCTCTGTCGACACCTAAAGAGCCACTTAAGATGATGTAGGACCTGTCTGTGCACATACCTTCACCACTGTCGCAGGCTGTGATGCAGCTACACACACAGCCGTACACACACAGCCATACTCACACAGCCGTACTCACACAGCCATACTCACACAGCCGTACTCACACAGCCATACTCACACAGTCGTACTCACACAGTCATACTCACACAGTCGTACTCACACAGTCATACTCACACAGCCGTACACACACAGCCGTACTCACACAGCCATACTCACACAGCCGTACTCACACAGCCGTACTCACACAGCCGTACACACACAGCCGTACTCACACAGCCGTACTCACACAGCCGTACTCACCCAGTCGCACTCACACAACCGTACCCACAAGCTAACAACAAAAAAACCCAAAATGTATGTGCTAACATAGCTCATACACCGCTAATACTACTAATCCTGTCAGTATAGAGAGGGTATATTTTGGTGGGCCAACTCTATTACACATTTGATATGATCTTGCGGGCCCAATATAATTACATTGCGGGCCAGATTTGGCCCCCGGGCCTGAGTTTGAAACATGTGATTTACACAGATGGACAAGAGTCATTTAAAAAACAGAAAAGTTCAACAGTTGATTGATGATATTACATTTTTCATATTTTAGCTAACATTGACATTGACAAATACTGTAAATATATTACCACTGACATAACATTGTTTCTCGTGACAGGGGATCAACTTCTGTCCTGGTCAGGAAGTTATAAATGTGACCACTCATGAACAGAGGGATCACACACTGCAGCCACTCATCTTCCACCTTGGGAAGGATCCAGGGGAGAAGTATCCAATACGGTGAGAGAGAAATGATGACGCTTTTTGGAGCAGGCTTACAAAGAGAGTTAAGAACAAGAGAAAGGGTTCAAAGATTCACATCACTGCTGATTCGGGTATTAATAATAATGACGATAAAAAGGGCCAAGCAGAGAGATTTTAGTAGAATAGAAAATCAGATTCAAATTTGAACCGAACTAACAGTTAATGTACCTTTTGTAATTCGGTAAATAAAGAATTTTTGAACAGCAGGATCGATGAACTGTTAACATGTCAGTTTAATGAAAAACCACAGAAAAGTGTTTGTTGGACCTACACTATAAATAACTGATACAGTTCTAGAAATACATCATTAAGTATGATGTATAATAAATAAAATAATACTTTTCAATCGTTAACCGGTTGCCTTCCATTTTCAGACGTGATATTTACACGTGGGCGAAAACATCAGCTCCAAAGACCGATGACCCGACCGCCTTTACTGCAGTTAGTTTATATACATTGAATATTTATGTGACCTTTACCAAAAATGCAAACGGCCGTCATGACTAATGCATGTTGGGGTTCATCTCCGATTCACTCTGATGAGCGAATATTCCTTCTGTTCACTCTTCCCTTTGGCCTCTCCTCTGCCATAAACTGTGACTCTGACCTTTGGTGGCTGCTTATTGCATCTCTGCTGCTTGTATCTTAGAGCGGCCTCATCTCCTCATCTACCTCCGGCTCACACTGCTCCCAGTGAAACTGCAGAGTAGAAACCATTTGCCTTTATCTTTTAGCAGAGGAGGAAAAAAAAAAAAATCAAAAATCAAAGCAAACACACCCAGTCGTGTGTTTTGCTCGTCGAGACGTTAATGTAAAAATGACGATCCTTCCCTGGGGAGAGGCCAGTCAATGTGTCTTTGAAGGTCACATGAGAGCGTTTTACACTAAGACCTCTTCAGTACTTTAATCCAAACACTGAGCCTCACGTTTTCCCCTGTTGCTTTTTTTTTTTTCTTTTTTCTTCAGCACTTACTGATATGCATCTTTGCTCACTCCTCACCACTCAGTCGCCGTCCCTCAGCATCTACTGGGACATTTCTGCTTTATCCTAGTTAAGCGTGTGTGCGTGTGTGTCCGTGCACGTTCACATGTGTGAGTTTTGGCCGTGCGCTCCCAGCTGGACCGGCGGCCCGGCCGTCATTAATCTCTGTCGACACCTAAAGAGCCACTTAAGATGATGTAGGACCTGTCTGTGCACATACCTTCACCACTGTCGCAGGCTGTGATGCAGCTACACACACAGCCGTACACACACAGCCGTACTCACACAGCCGTACTCACACAGTCATACTCACACAGTCATACTCACACAGCCGTACTCACACAGCCGTACACACACAGCCGTACTCACACAGCCGTACTCGCACAGCCTCACTTTAGTCACAGGGAAAACTGTTTGCGTTTAGAAACTGTAATTGTTAACACCATCACTGTCTGAGACAGAGAGAGGTTATGGTACAGTGAGGTCAGAGGAGCCGGTCACTCTGTTACAGTAGTACTGTGATACAGCTGAAGAATACTTCAAATGGCACCACCTCTGCACCCAGACGCTGTTTACTCTCAAATTTCTTCTATAAAAATAACCAGCTGAAGAAACCGGATTTGAAATATTCTGACCGCAGGGATGGTCGTTTGTAGTGTTGCTGCGAGTTTTGTGGGGGAAAAAAAAATGTGATTCTGGTTTTTAAATATGCGTAGACTTTAATACGTCTCACAAATGTTAGCAAAATGTGCAACGTGGACAGATCTTGTTTTTGCAAGATAAATGAGTGTTATTTATATTTTTTTTAATTTATGATGTTTTTTTTTATAGTTCTGGATTTTCTTACATTTGTAGACGTATATAAAACACATTAGCATTCTAATGTCGAAACAAGTCACTATAAATATATCCTGGATCCTATTGGGTTAGAGTTTGCATTGTCTTTTAATCTGTTTAGTAATGGTTAATGCGATGACAAAACAACAGATATTGTTTCATTTTTTTAAAAAAAAACAGTTTGAACCATTTCAGAAACGTAGCTTGGACCTATCAGGACTCTCAGCCGAGCCGCGTCTGTCTCAAGAATAAACGGCGTTCTTTGAGATGAAGTAACAGCAGGGAAATGTTGGACACGCAGAGGAGCTGAAGTGTCTTCAGTCTCACAGAATCAGACGGCTGCTAATACTGTGACGCATATTTACAGAGAGTAATACCACTGAGCCAATGATACAGAGCCCCCCCCCCAGACCCCCACCCTTTTTTCTCTCAGGTTCATCCTCCACTTCTTCCTGCCTACACCTTTCCCTCCGTCTTTGTGACCTCAGACCTTGAGGTTAACACGTCCTCCGTTCCCACCACCCACCAAAGCTCACGTCCCCAGAGCCCCCAGGTCAAGCTCCAGGTGGAGGGCCGCCCCCCCCCCCCCCCCCCCCGATACTGCAGGCAGTACTGCGCCGTCTGTCGTCACACGCCGGCGGCCACACTACACTCTCGTGTGTCCGATCAATAGTCCTTAGTGAAGTGCCCAATTTCCACCGGGGCTGAAGGGGAGAAGGGGAGTGGGCAGGGCAGATGCATGTGATTGTATCCTCAATTCCCTCACCTTCTGCCACTGTGCGTGTGTATGTGCGCGCATGTGTGTGTGTTATGAATCAGTAATCAGTGTGGTGACACACCTGAGCAATGCCCCCATCCCCCCTGGGTGCCATACATTATAAATCAAAAAACTCCATTTGCATACAGGCTGCTTATTATTCCAGATCTTGCCTCTACACCAGAACACTAAGGGTTCTAATCAGAATAATGAGCTGGTGCTGACTGTGGGATTTTCATTATTTGTTTGCATAGGAGGCATAAACAAACGATATTATTAGTTTTTGATTTAGAGGTCCGCACTGTTAGATTTCCACCGCGCAGGCAAAACAATGGAGAACTTTGTGTCTTTCGCGAATCTTCCGATGCGCGCTCTGCTTCGCTTGCAAGCTCGTACGGCAAACCCTTAGCTCCCGCTCTGTGCGCTGATAAATGTCCCCTTACGTTCACTTCCATTAAGTTGCTTCTTCACTTATCATAAAATAAATCGCAACAATCAGTGGGGCGCACGGATACGAGGGCAATGAAAAATCCCTCTCTCTCTCTCTCTCTCTCCGATTGCGCAGAGACACGGATTCGAGATCTTAGATAGCATCGGCAATTTAACGTGAAACTTTGGCGACAACGGGGAGCGATTCGGGGTTTTCTTTATCAGCTGGAATAACAATGGAAAAATGGTTCGTTGATGACGAATGTGGCACAAAGAGGAGAGATGGACTAATTGCAGCCGGTGCAGTGTCAGTGCAGTAATTGTAGGGGGAGGTAAAGAGTCAGAGTATCAAGGAAAGAGGAGCAGGTGCTGGCTGATGGAGGAAGCCTTTCTGCCCTGTGGGAGATCTGAGAGGGAGGGTAGGTGTGAGCCGGACAGAGCCTAGGGTTATTACTCTAATTGACACTTCACCTCACACACATGCACATGGTCCCCGGGGGCCAATCAGGGGGCTGGGTTTGCAGCGAGGGAGGATGGAAGGCTGGCACAGGTGCTGCCGGCGAGTGTATCAAGGGTGTAATTGCACTGCTGATATTTGTCTATCTGTGTGTCACGCCACCAGGCGCCCACTCCCCCAACACACACACACACACAGAGACACGGGGACACACAGCCCATTAACCCTACAGGTCCTATTGAGAGCAGCGTTCCTTTGAAAGCCTTCAGGGCCCCTGTGTTTTACACACTGAATATAATAATGCACAGAGGTGCTCAGGCTCACCGGTGTCCAACGGCAGTAATTGAGAGACAGGGGATGTGATGGAGGTTACACACTTCGCCCCGCTGAGTGTGCTTTACCACAGGAGGCCGCGGGTTGACGCAGTGTGTTGTTTTTGTAGATGAGAAGCTGCAGCTTGTCATTATAGTGACATAATGAGTTAAGCAATTCAGACGCCGCACTGTGGTGGTAATGCAATATAAGAGAAACGGCTACTTCATGTACAGGCCTTATGCACTAATCGCTGAGGAAAATGGACGTTTTAAAAACAGATGCAGAGAGCAGAGGGAAAAACAAGGAACAATAAGATGTTGATTTTTCTTTTGAAGTATAAATATGTTCTGATTATTCATTCTTATTTCCCTCAAGGTTTTGTGCTAAGTCTCTGATTATATTTGTATTTCAGGGGAGTTTGAATCAGATAAAGGATACGTTTATAAAAAAAGAAACCAGATTTTCTTTTTTTATTGTGGATTTAAAGGATTTTCTTTTCTTTCTTTTGGTTCAAACCACCCAGGTCAGAGATTTGAAATATCCCGACCTGAAAAATTAGTCGACTTTTGTTTAATGATGATGAGGATTTTTTTTTTTTTTTTTTTTACAATATGTGTTCACTCTCAGTTGGTCGTGTCACATGTGTCGTGTCTGTCCTGACTCCTGACTCTGTCTGTTGGTTGTGATTGCAGTGTTCTCTCCAGTGAGTACCGCGACGCTCTGAAGAGCATCTCTCCAATCGTGGAGCAACATCAGAAAACTTTAGTCCCTGGTGCTCCTCAGCTCAACATGTGTGACCTCGCAGTGATGGTGAGATCAACTGAACATCAGCCACAAGTAGAATTAATTATATTTATATAAAAAAGATGCTGTTATATGACTTCACTTGCTTTGTTCATTAGATGGAAATAAAAAGGCATTTTAAAATCAGAAAAAAGGTCAAATCAGGTCAAGCTAATGAAAAGAGTTGTGGTCTTTTCATTAGAAATTGGAAATTTCAACAAGGCTTTTATTTTTTATATATATATAAAATATATATATATGTATGTATATATATAGATATATATATCTATATATATAGCCATTTTAAAAAAAAATATTTTATTGCTATCTGAATTATACCAGACTCTTTCCAAGCTTTGAAGACTGTGAACGTTACTGCTCTGAATTTGTTCGTGGCACAGCACTGCCATCTAGTGTTTTAAGCCGAACATGTACATGGGTAGCGCCGGAACTATAAAAGATCCTTTTCGTTGTTTTATTTTCAAATAATTGAACTCAACTCAAATAATATGTAACCAAACATATTGACAGATGAAAATACAGACCTATGATATTGATTTAGGTTTAGATTTTTAAATTATACAAAAATGTTTTGACTGCGATCAGTCATATTTAATCATCCTTTCCTAAGATATTTACAAGCTTTTTTCCCCTGCTGACTAAATCTTTTCCTTTAATAAGCTATTTCTAAAAACGTTTTAAAATAAAAATCTGAATTGAATTGGTTTTTTTTTACCCTCTATTGCAGAATTGGGCGCCACCTGGCTGTGACAAGATAGGAAAGTGTCTCAAGGGGCCACAGTCAGCTCCGTGGAAGTGCGAGTGGCCTCACTGAGGACAAAACTGAAGAAACTGAAACAGGAAAAATGAGGGAACATTTTTGCTTTTCTGCAGATCATCAGATCAGGGATCAAGGTCAAGTTTGAGGTCACATTTGTCTGTGTGTTTATTGGTAACAAGTATAAATGACGGTGCCTTATTGGTAAAGGTTCTACTGGTTAACTCCGACATGAATTAATTGTCTCTGTCTGAGGTTGGTAGGTATTACAGAGAGTTTTTGGTAAGAGATTCTCGAGCTTTTCACTCCTTCACTTTGTGGCTGTAAACTTTTTAACACATGATGTTACTTGAAAAAAAAAAGTTGTCTTTTCAGAACACATGGAGGGAAAACAAACTCCAGTGCATTATTTTGTACTTTGCGTAAATCGCAGTGATCTGAAGTAACAAAGATATTTTTGTATAATGGAAGAAATCGTGCCTCAGGTTATAAATGCTGCTAAGCTGGGGAGTTTTTGTTTGTTTTATTTCTGCAACATGTTTAATTATGAACTGATGAATGTGCTTTTACTGAATAAAGGGGCTTTCACAGTGTATGGAAACTGTTATTGAATTTGATTTTGTTTGTTGATGGAATAATTCAAAATATCTGGAAGCACAGAAGAAAATGTCTTTAGAATTGGACTAAAAATAATAATAATACATATAAAAATAGATGAAAATGATGAAAAAAGTTTTTTGCACATTAAAAAAAGGAAGCACTAAAAGTGTGTTACTGGAAATGACATGAAATTGGAAAAAAGAAATGAATTTTTTTTAATCAGTTAAGTTTTATGTAAATATAAAGGGACTTCTCACACAACTTTTTTTCAGATTTCTACAGAGGATTTTTTTTCATGCAATTTCAATGGGACTTGATTGAATTCTGATTTTAAAAAAAAAAAAACTTTAGCAAGCCCGGATTAAACCCCCTAGCGGGCCGATTTTGGCCCACGGGCCGCATGTTTGACACCCCTGCTTTAGACCAAGATTATAAAAAATGTAATTGATCAGAGTCAATTTGATCATTCAGAGATGTCAAATCCACTGATGCAATTTTGGAACCATTTCAAACTTTTTCAAACTGTTGGTACACTTTCTGTCAGGGTTTGAGCAGCATGACTTGTGAAATGCAAAACATTACTCATGACTCTACAACCAGTCATTTCCTCTCTGTAGCTCTGAGGAAACAGCGTTTACTGCAGGAAACTGTGTGTGTTTTTTAATCTGAGTCTTTTAAACATCATGATAGCGGATCAGGGTCAATCAAACTCGGTGGAGGTGGACACGGCTTTCCTTAGAACCAAAAGGGCCATGCTGAAAGGGGGAGAGATGGTGAGATCTGTTTTACCGTTTTTTGGCATTTTGCTGCAACAACCGGAGCTGCTTAGATTTTCTGATCACATCAGCAAGATGGGGAAAAAAAAAAAACTAAAGGAGACGATATAAAAACAGAACCAGGACACATACACGTTAGACGTCTGACCGTGCAGCTACAGTAGTTGTAGTAGTTTCTGTAGTGAGTAGTTACTGAAAGTATGATGGCGAAGAGAAACTGGTGCACTTTATAGCAGGTCGATCAGAAACCACTTCCTCTAACTTTCTGGAGGTGCAACGTTCCTCAAACGTAGGAAGAACAGAAGCAGCGACGGAAGCACAACAACTTTAAATTTCATTCTTTTATTAATAATACTTTTTGTTGCGTGCTGCTGTGTCTTTCTGTTTGCATTAGGTAACTCTGTGCGTGGCTCTCGTGTCTTTCGCTCTCGGTTCCAGACCACGGTTCATCACAGCCTCTGTGCTGGAGATCGTCATCACGTCACTACTACTGATGCTGTACCTGCTGAAACTCAATAAGAGGCTCACACTCTTCTTTTGGCCCTTTGTTGTGGGTATTATGGGACAATGACTATAAGCAGTAACACGTAGATATTTGAGATTATTGCCCTTGTGATCCATGCATTCAATTTGGAAAATAGAAAACCTTTGTAATGTCCTCCAAGTTGCCTTTTGTCCTTTAGGGGCAGAAATAAGGGTGTATGTATCTATCTAAAGGGGAATATTTGACTTAAATCAAGCCTAAAAACAAATGTAATCAGTCAATGAAGCTATTTTTTTTTTTTTTTTTTGCAGGGATACATTTAGGTAAAATCATAAATGTCTGTCAACAGATTCAAATCCACATCACCTCTTCCCAGAACATCAATATAATATAAAAAAAACTGTATATTAGATTAGAATATTAACATAACTTTTATGAATAAGGACAACATATCTATGTGAAATGAAAAGTCAGTCAAGTAAAAGTAAACTTCACTAAAGATAGACAGAAGATACATTTAACTTTTTATAGGCTTCAGGGTGAGGAGAGTGTAAGGATCTTATCTCACAGCATGGAGATCAGAATCAGCGGAAGTGAATAAAGAGGGTCTACTTCAAAAATAGAGTTTCACAACCTTCACGCTGTCCTGTCGTCTTCTCTTTAGGACTTCTTTAACTCAGTTTTTGCAGCAGTCTATCTGGTTGTCCTCGGCCTGATGGCTCTGACAACGTACAGCTACGCAGGGACATTGGCCGGAGGGGTGAGAAGTCTGTCTTTACTCTGTTGTTCCTGTCTCATGTGTTAGTAATGTTGTACGGTCTTCAGCCCATGGCCTAGTGTTAAACACTGGGCTGGTTATCAGAGGATACGGGTTCAAATCCCACCTTTCTAAAGTGATCACTGCCCCACCAGAAATATATTTGTGTATTGGTCTGTATATTTACAATAACAATATGAGAGAAAACCGTCTATTCTGCATTGGTAGTCCGGTCTCATCTGTCTTTCCTTTTTCTTTTTTCCCCCAGATTGCCTTTTTCGTGGCAGCTCTTCTGTTCTTTATCGACAGCTACATGCTTTTCAGGAACGTCACACTAAACAAACCAAGGAATGAAGCACAGCAACAAGGCAGTGGATAAATGAAGCATCGCACTGCATAGTATTCATGTGCGACAATTTTTTTTTTTACCAATTTTAGCTGGCTTACTACAGTATACTGCAGTGGTTTCAAGTGGAGAAAATATTTCATGTCTTAAATTACCCACCCACCTACACTGATCATAGAACACTTCAACACAATTAACCCCGACTGAACACCAGTAAATTAAACCAACACAGGTGAATGCCATCTGCCAATCACTGCCAAATCACTCAGCCCTAAACCAATCCAAAAGGTCACACCACAGATAAAGCTGATCAAGATGGAGGGTCATGCGGACAATGGAGACCAGAGGTGGCCAAGTGCATACAGAACGACATCACAGACCGTAATCGCACAAATATACATAAAGATAAAAGTACAAGGCAAGTCCTGGACTAGCTAGAATCCAGGTAGTCACTCTGGACTGCAACCGAAACATCCAAGACTTTGGAAAAGGGCCACAATTGGGACATCCAAATTGTGGAAAATTACAGCAACATCCCAAAACTGTGGAAAACAACCACAACGTCCAAAAAACAGACCGCAAACAGGACATCTAAACTATAGAACGTTTCAATGATATAAACCAGAGAACCCTACATTAAGAAGGTAAAAACATTCCGGAGAGACTGGAACATGAAGGAGACGAGTACGCACGGCAGCCAAGAGGCCTTGTACTGCTGTGTGTAACACATTCAAACACACACATTTAGCAAGGAACGGCGTCCTGGTAGAGCATAAAAGGAAATAAAACAACGCTCCTTACTGTGCTGAAGATCTTCAGGATGAGCAATCTGGAAAATAAAGTCAGAGAAAACCATGTTAAGGACTGATGTTTTGGCGTGAGCACATTTGTTAGTTATTACTATTCTTATTTAAATAAAAAAAAAACAGTTTGACTGCACAGATGGCTCACCTTATCTTTCACTTTCAGGGGTTCACTCTGACACTGGACAACTTTGACCTGGTCTCCGTGCACAGAAATCCCACCAATTCTGTTCATTTCAAACAATGGTGATAAAACATTAAACACAATGTAGTCAGTTTCTTTTAGGAATTTACCATAGAAAATACTTAAGTTAAATTAAACACTAAAATGGTAAAATATGATTCAATGAGCAAACTCATTTGGACGTGGGCTACATCATTTTTAAATTAGTTTCAACAAAGCAAAGAAAGAAATTCAAAAACAGTATGATTTATCTACTGCGCATGCGCACGTGCAAGAAAACGCTGTAATACGCAATTGCTTATCCTAGCCCATAAAATCTGTATACCCCTTGGAAAAAGTATTTTTCATGAATAAGTTAAACACTTTATTAATTTGACCTGTGACTACAGAAACTTCTAGATTCAATTCACCAATGGCAGCACGCGTTTTCACTTCTAATTAAAAAAAATCATCCACAAAAAACACACCCATTACAAAAGTACAGCATGTTTTAACATGCATTTAAACAAACTGACAGTTACAATTCTCCCATCAGAAAAGTATACCGTGTATTAAACTATAGGTATTTTGGAATTCCGCCGACATAAAGTGTACCGGCAAATCCGATAGGTGGAATTCCGCCGACATAAAGTGTACCGTGTTTAAAACTATAAACCCATCGCTTTAGCTACCAGATACGTGTACGGCTGTACAAATCCGACAGAACACCGGAAATAAAACTGGAAAAGCGTCTTACCTTTCTATCTGAGCCTCATATCCGGACCTGGTCGAGCCGCCAACAAGAACAACTGGCTACACCTGTGGCTTGTTATGCACGCAGCAAACTTTTTCGGCGTCTGACGTCACCCGCCGCGACCATTTTTTCCTGTTTCCAGCATCCTTGTGACGTATCCACCGGGAACAACTTGATTGGCCCGACTCCAGTGGGCGGGGCGTTTGTTTTAGTTTATTCCGGTGTTTTTAGTAAAGTGTTAATCAAGAACGCAATTAGTCAAAGTTAAAACTTGAAATGCTGTGTTACTAACGAACTCCTTCTCTCATGAAGTGCAGTTAATAAAACCTTACACGAAATCTGTTTGTGTGAAATGTGCAACATTAAAAATACAAACTAAAGAAATTGATAACTTAATGTTACTTTTGTAACTAACTGAAACACATAAAAATACATAGTTGTCTTTGAACATGTTTATTTAAAGAGACATACGGAGCAAATCTCGTCCCGTGTTGGCTCAATGCAGGACGCAACACTGAGTTGCCAAATAAAGGACGAGTCTGTGGCAACTCTGTGAACAAGAGAGCTACAAACTAATGTGGTCATCATTCATTTCATAATTGTTCTAATCATAATCAAATCCTAGAGAGAGACAGAGAGAGACAGACAGAGAGAGAGAGAGAGAGAGAGAGTTGTACGTGGGCGCGGCATGATCGCGTTTCACATCTGGAGAAATCGCAGATGTTGCGCTTTTGGAAGCTTTTTTGCACTGCGTTTCCTCGCTGTCACTGTTTCCGTTTCCACCCTCCACTTACATCCACGCCTCCACACACTCCAGCCTCTCTATTAGACTTGTTTCCATTGTCTGCGTTACGTCCAGTTTGCAGTGGGTGAAGTTTGTGGAGGGGATTCATCTGCACCAACAATGGGAGATATCGAGGCTCCCAGCAGCCCCGGACCGCGCCAGAGTGTCCTGATGTCGGTTCTGCCCAGCAGAGAGTTCGCCTCTTCACGGAAGGGAATGCTGCTCTTAGCTGAAGTGGTAAGACGTGCCCGGAGGGTCTCTTCTTCTCTTCTTCTCTGCCACACACTCCTCCAACTGTTGCTGTGAAGTGTGGTTTTATCCTGTGTGCTTATGGTCTCTGACTGTAGGATATGCAGAACTGTGATGTGTTGCTGCATGAGTCCACGACCAGGGAACACAGGTTGTTTGTTTCAATATAAAGTCAGTGAATTTTGGCTTTCACGACGTTTCCCATGAGGAATGAAGCTGGGGTGAGAGAGATTAAAAAAGTTCCCAAAAAGTTTTGGAACTATTTATCAACACATCCGGAACAAGGTGAGGACGAAGTCATTCGACTTAGATTACTATTGTAATCAGGGCAAAGCTTAGGTACTTTAGTGAGTTGTGCACAAACTTAAAACAATACAGAAATATATTTTATATGCAAAGTTTTTTGTGTTGGTCAGCTCCAAACCAGGAACTGAAAGTTTGAGTGAGTCTGGTATCAGTGTGGCAGGGGGAGGAGGAGGAGGAGGAGGAGGAGGGCTCAGCAGCATCATGCAGGACTTACAGGAAGGGTCTTTTTGTAATTTGATGTCTCACATTTGTGTCATGTGACCACCAGCCCCTGTGAGAGCAGACATCACATCCTTTAGCCCGCTGCTACTATCATGTGGCCTGGAGCACAGTGCTCATTGTATCTAGCACACACGCACACACACACACACACACACTTTATTCCTTCTTCTCAGTGGCCCTTGGCTAAAATTCTTCAGAAACGATTGTCCTCCACTAAAACTCAGCAGCTAAAAAAAGTCAATAATCTGCGTATCACGATTCAGACGATTCAAAAGGTCTTGGTTTGTTTTTCTTTTCTGAAACTTGTAAAAAATATTATATAAAAAAAACCACAAGTATTTAATATAAATCCATCTAGTCATGTTACGTAAAGTTTCTATTCATGTCTGTTAGGTCAAATAGTAGGTCAGGACACAAAGTGGTTCATACTGATGACTGTATACGGTCTATCTTAGAAAACCTTCTGATTCCAGTGAAGTTAAGATGTGTTTCCAATATCTGATTTGATTTACTTTTTTTTCCAAATGCCTTCTGAACAAAGTTAGCATCTCAGTTTTTCTCCCTCTATACCCAACAGTGACACTCACTGGTTTCTATTGAACCAGTTCACCTGTAGAATTCCTTCTGTGTCCTGCTGTTCTGTGGAATCCGTTTCAGGTATCATCAAACCCAAAATGAGTTCACATTTCACATATAGAAATATAGAAAACTATAGAATTTTTTCAGTTTCTTTTTTTCTGCACCACTTGTTTGTAAACAGGACTGTTGTCGAACCGACCACACGTTAACACAGCGGTGTCAAACATACGACCCGTGGGCCAAAACCAGCCCGCTTGATGAAATTTAAAAGTGAAGAAATGCGTAAAAACTTCACGTTCGTGGTATTTTGTCCAATGATTGTTCATTAAATATGAATATTGTCTAATATACTGGTACTTATTAGCAGGGAAACAAAGGGGGGAAACATTGACTTATTGTTATTTATAGGTAATTATGTTATAATCGTACTAGTCCGGCCCCACTTGGTATCTAATCAGGCTGTATGTGGCCCCTGAACCATGACACCTCCCCGTGAGTGTTAAAATATTCATGATATTTGCTTCAAAACTAGACTGAACTGAATTAAAATCAATTAAACCACTGAGTGAACAGGTTTTTCTGAGGTGACTGACTACAGTAGATATAATGTAAGAACACATTAACAATATTTGAAGTGAAAAGTGAGGTAACAAATACCACAACCAATGTTTTTTGTTTTGTTTTTCCGGCCTTGCGGCAGTGTTCAACAAAACCGCAAGAGAATAAAGAAACAATAAAAAGAAATGAACTCAAAAGAAAGAAGAGAAGAGAAAAGTGATCTCAGATGTTAGTCGTGATCCTCACAGAGAGTCAACAGCTCGTAGCTTCATTAAGACGCCAGATACACCGACGAGTATCAGTCAGACGCGTACTGTAAACCAGACACACACACACACACACACACACCTCCCCGTGAGTAGGCGTTATTACATTGTCAGCTCCTCGTTAGGGTTTCTCAGAAAGCAACAAACCCCTGTTAGCAACAAGCTGCTTTTTGGAGCATGTTCAAATGGAGTCCATGTGGTGGTGTGTAAATGTGTGTGAAGTGTGTCTCCCTTTTTCCTTCTTGGCATAAACATAAAAACTGAGAATGAGCACAATTCCTGGCTTAGTGTGTTTGGATATGGCAACATTAAAAAAAAAGACAAGAATATAGGTAGAATAAAGCCATGCTGGTGAAAATAAACCACAATGTCACTAATAGACTAGAACTTTTAACTGGTTAGACAAAGTAAAAATGTAATTACTTTTAATTAATTAATGTTAAACTAAGTATATTTAAGTTTAAGCTTAATGTGAGTACAAAAAAAGATAGCCTGTGTAGGGTAAAAAGTTATCAGTTAGCCAATTTAGAAAATCAAATTTTAGCCAAGGCGATAGGTCAATGCTAAAGACTAAGCTAAGACGAATCCTAAGAGCTAATACGTAGACAACACATAGACAACATAAGCTAGCCGATACGGTAAGTTAAGGACACAGCCTCACAAAATATAGAAACGCGGGTTAAAGTAAAGGTAAAGTAAGACTAACTGTTAAAGTTTGAAACTGCTGCATTTGTTATAGTTTTTCAGACACAAGTTAGCTAATGCTATTACATCGGGGAAACTGTAAAAAATGCACTGCTGTGACTAAGTTCTTGTCAATTTATCTAACAGCTCTAAATGTCATTAAAATTAAATGTATATCCCATAAATGTGAAGAAAAATAATAATAATAATTAAAATATAAATATATATATGACAGTTGAATATAAATATGTCCGGTTGTTGTTGTTGTCGTTAATCTTTCCACCTATTAAAGATTCCGAGCATTAATAAATAATACACCTACGTCTAAAGTGCAACTTCCAAAAAACTAATCATAAAAAAACAATCCCCAAAAGCTTCCGGAACCTTTGAAATAACATCCCTGGTGTTTACAGTAGGGTTTGTGAAGGCTCAGCAGCTGCAGTGGTTCACATTGAGATCAGGGGGGAGTTTCCTCCCCCAGGCTGCGACCGAACGACTGACGGAGACAAAGACAAGATGGACGCGTCTGTTTCACATCACACTGTTTGGACTTGCTTTCAGTGCTGCCTTCACTGTCCTGAAAACTCTACCACGCAGACGGCAGAGTCCTTTCACTCAAAATGTGATGTTTCGGTATCGCACTTTTGTCTCGGTTCCCAGTTAGAGATCAGATACAGTGTAGTAGTGAAAGTAGATTACGTTTATTTTACATTTTTGGTAGTCTTCAAAGGATTTTGTTCATCCTTTTCGTAAAATAGCTCATTTAATTTCTGTTTCTGAGCATAATCATAAATAAACTAAAACAATGGGTTCCCAACATCCGGTCCGGGGACCAGTGCCAGTCCGTAGGTTATTTGGTAGCGGGCCGCAGTGGGACACAGTGAAAAAATGTCCTTCAGTTTTACTAATTGACTTCATTCAAAAAGAATCCAGTCATATCCCTTTACTGTTTTTATCCCAAGTAAATCTGGCAATGTTTGAAAACAACAGGTCATTCAGACTGTGATACTAACAGAATAAAGTCTAAAAGATGTTTGATTTTGAATGATGTAATGATCCTTCAACGATGGATCGCTGTTATATAGTTGATATGACCTGTAATAGACTTTATTTCTGTTCTAACTCCCTCCTGTTTTCATTGTCTTTTCAGGCGCTGTCATTCATCTCCTTTGTGTGTTTTGCGGCGTCCACGGCAGCAGGCTTCGTGACTGTCCCGCTGCTGGAGTTTCTGGCCGCTGTCTTCTTGGTGTTTGCTTACTCCACCAAATTCAATGAAAGGTTTAAAGGCTTCCTGTGGCCACTTATGGTGAGAAAAACCGTTTATTTTATACTACGAATCACTAGGCGAAGTGTAGCTTTGTTTCCGTGCCGCTGACACGTTCGGCTAAAACAAGGACCTACAGTTCATTCGATGGTGGTTATTTCCTGGTTATGAACCCAGTCAGGGTCAACGACAGTGTGTACGTGTGGTTTCAGTCAGGTAGAAACAGTGCCTGGTTATGGTTTGGAAGGAAACCTTTCTAGGTCAATAGTGCACAGACGAGTTAGAATGAACGCCACAGAGCGGAGAGAGCGCGGAGAAGAGCTGAATAAAAATGCACGGTCAGAAACATTTGATTGATAGGAGGATTGTTAGTGTTTCAGCTACTGTTAGCATTTCACGTAGCAGCAAAACAGAGAGTTAAATGATAGCATTATGCTATGCATTTGTTTTTTGTGTGGTCATTTCCAGGACTTTATGAGATGTGTGACTGCGTCTGTCATCTACTTCATCATCTCCATAATGGCCGTGTCCAAATATGCGGACGGATCCTCCAAAGCTGCAGGGGTACTGTCAAAGTTCTACTACAATATCAGCATATCATATTAGTACTGCATTTAAAAGTAACATTTTATTTTTTTTATTTTTATTTTTTTACAGGTGTTTGGCTTCATCACCACCATTGTGTTCGCTCTGGATTTTTACTTCATTTTTAACGAGTTGGCCACTTTCCTTAAAGCAGGAGGGGAGTCCAACGATGAGCCGACCAGAGAGCCAGGTAACAACTGTTATCACTAGGACTAATCTGGTGAAATGACTACAACAGTGTTTTAACCCAGGCTGTGGATACTTTAATTTAGAAACCTAGATTCAATTCTATTTAATTCTCTAACCCACTGTACGGGTTTAAAGCTGCTGCTGCAGTAATTCTAGTTCAAGGACGATTGCAAATTGGATTTCTTAGCATGGCGTTAAACCTTGAATTTTTTTAATTTTTTTATCATTTCTTATTTTAGTTTTATTTCACATATACATGCTTCTTAATGTCAGGCTCAAGGATTTTTCTTTTTATTAAAGCTGATATCGTAATTCCACTGCACTGTACTGCTGTTTATTTTGCCATATTCTATTCTATCCTATTCAATTCTAGTCTTATTGTTATATTTAATGTGGTGATATGAAGCAAAACAAGTTCTGCTATTTATGATGTCATATAGCTAGAAGAAATTATTTTATATTTTTTAATTCATCATTTTGTCAACAAATATAATCAAATATAATATAAAATATAATGTTTTCTGTCAAATTAATATTTTTTTACAATATCTGTATTGTAATTTCTGTTTAAAAAAACACCCTTTAGAAGGGTAATTCAGTGGACCAATGGGAGGACAGGACAGGACAGGACTGAAGACAAACACTCATTGCGTCTTTGTCGCTCCGTTTTTTTTCAGATGAGTTTTCAGACTCTGACTCAGACTGAGACCAGGAGGAATCTTCACCAGCTGATACAAAGTAAAGGTTTTAAATAGAAAATGCTGCGGTGAGGCTACAGTTTCACCAGGACCGTTTACTGTCACAGCCACATCAGGTGTCACTGATTGTTTGATTGTTGTTTTTTTGTCCGAGAATGAATCATATCAGAAAGTATGTTTTGTTTTTTTTAAACTTTTTTTCACTTTTTAAAAAACCTGATAAGCTTCACTCTTCAAATGTTGGAACCTGTTGTTTGGAAGTGAGTTTTAAAATGTCTGAAGTTACACAGATGACTGTGATGTTCATTACACAGATGGGCTGGTAAGTACAGTACGGAGAAGAAGAGTCATTTTTATTTTAACAGTGTAGGACATTTTAATGTCTGACTGTTATAAGTATATATACATATACTGTTGTGATTTTTATTGCTTTAAAGGGGCCAAACAGATTTTATTTCTCTGTACAAACATTGATTCATACATAAGTCTGAAGTGAATTTTAAACTTTATTTTAAACTAAATTTTAAAAGTGTTTTTTTAATTATCCCTAAACAAATACTTTGAAGAATAATGAAAAACTTCTGTTCTGTTAATTCTTTTTACAGTAATCATCATCCTCAGTGTATACAACGATCAGGGGAAGGTTAGGTAGGTAAAGGTCATTAACCTGAGTGAAGACCAAAATTATAAAGCTGTGAAATTAAATTGTATTTAATTCCTAAAGGTCCGGTGTTTATTGAATGAAATAGTTGACAGAATATCATCCACGTTCTCACCTGACAGTACATTGTTTGACATTTGGACTGCCTTGGATTGTTTACCTGTACTGCTACTGTCGCTGTAGCTTTCTTTGTAATGGTTACAGACATAAATGTCCACGTTTTCACAGCCGCTGTTTATGACATTTGTGTATAAACAACAGACCAACAAATCGACTTATTACAATCAGAATATGAATGCCAGTCAGCAGAAGTACCAATACTGCGTCACTGGGTCATTACTCTACGTCACCAGTAGGTGTCAGTAATCTTTACACGGCAGACCTTACGAATTTGTTTATATGTAAATATTAAAACTGATAGTAATGTAAACCATGTGCTGTGACTGAACACTAAGTGAACGTTGCAGTGGATACACGCTGTATGTGGGATCAACACCAGTGAATATGTTTAATCACATAAATATCGTGGGCGGTCAATGTTGCGTCAGCTGATTAGGAACACAGCCATAAAACATACAGATGGTTATTATTAGTATACAGTACTTTATATGTAATGGGTTGGCTGGTTACAACCTCTGTCCAGTTCACGGACAGTTCACTGTTTCTCTAAGTAGGACTTTTGTTTGGACGTGGCTCCTTCATCGTACTGTGGGCTAACGCTAAAACGGCTAACACAGCACTGCTTTGTACAGCAGACTGACGTCACGGTTTAATGGCTTTGCTAGATTGACTTGACTTTTCACACGATTTTGAATGTGTACGGCCATTGTCTAAGAGTTTAGAGCTTCGCTCTGTCGGTTTCAGTCTTTATTAGAACGTGATGACATTTACAGCGGCACACTTCTGCCAGATTTGAACATCTGGTCTCCAGTCTGCCATGTCTATTTTAATCCATTTCCCATCTATGGTTCCTGCATCAGTGAATGGGGTTTCGACCTTCGATGGAATAATATGTATTGATTTCTGTTCATTAACTAAAGTTTAAAAACCCTGTGTGTGTTTGTGTTCGTGTGAGTAAACATTTAAAGCCACTAACTGCAGTGTAATTTATACGAAAAAAAACAAATGTGAATCACTGTGTTTTCTCAGAACATAAAGGTCTTGATTCTTGTTGTCCATGTGCTTTAGTCTTTTTTTTTTTTTTTTTTTTTTTTTTTTGCTGCTAGTGAAATCACACCACGCTCCTTACTGTGGCTATTTTCATTGTTAGTTCCCTTTTAAATAAAAATAGGTGCCTATTGAAAATAGTTCACAGCAGTTGGCATGAAAAGTTTGCATAAGCTAAAATATATTTAGCACTTCCTTTAAAGTGTTTGATTTTTTTTTTTTAATTCCACAACATTATATCAAAAGTCATGTCAACACTTGGATCCAAAAAAAGTAAATATTCATTTTTTAATTATTGGTTAAATTAATTGAGTGGGCGATATTATTTTGCATGGAAAATATTCCATTATTTTTCTAATTTATTTTCCATTGTATTCAGTTTTTAGAAAATTCCATTATTCTTCTAATTTATTTTTCAGTTTTTAGAAATTGAAATGATCCTTTCTTTATTTTTATATAACAAAATTCAGTCTAAGCTAATGTGATATATTTATTAACCCTGTGAAAGCGTCGTGGGTGAACGTTTACACTAAAAGGCTGTGAATTTGAAAAATACGTATTTCCCAAATTGGGACAATGTTCAAATCAATTTATTCAAATGTTCTCTATAAACACATGTATTCTAGTCAGAATGTGTTAAATATGAAAATACAGCCAACAGTTCACCATCTTGGACCAACACGTTGTTATATATATTCATCGTTGTAAAAGCAGGAGAGTTTCTACCCCTCTTAGAAATCAAACAATCACAGTTGGCTGTCTACACCACAATCTGGAAACTACTGCAAAAGCGCATTTTCAGTAAGTTTTTCATAAATACACGGTTTTCATTAAGTACTGCAGCAAACAGTTGTACACTGTGAAATTCGTCTTTGAAAATCTGGCAGTTTATAATTCCAAAGCACGTGGATGATTGTGTTACTCTACAGGTGTGTAAGTGAACACAGAAGTACAAGGTGACGGACAAAAACACCAACATGATTGTCTCCTCATTCAACCATTTCATTACGGTAGAATAAAACGTCGACATTCTAACGTGGTCAAACGTCATTATGTAACTACTAGGAAAGCATTTCACGATACAACCATGAGATGGCGCCAGTAGGTCGATTTTAAATGTCCTGCAATACCAGCACTTCTTTTGTATCCTGACAAAACATTTTCAAGGCCATTTTCTCAAAGGTGTACGACCGAAATGAGAAAACCTGTGTGTGCGCATTCACCAAAAAACAAAACAAAAACACATTATTCAGGTTGAGGCACAATCTGGTTTGGAATATTTTTTAGAATTACTGGAATAAACGTGTTAAGTACGTAAAAATCAGAGGGGAGCAAATATTTCCATCAGTTCTACCACAGTCACTATCACTGAATTGCAAATTAGAATATAAAATAAATTAAAACCGGACAGCTTTAAAGGGGTGGCAGATTAGCTAGGATGTTTATGTGGGTTTTTAAGGTTTGCTAATGTTTGCTGAAGCACTGGTTGTTAAAATGTATATAAAATGTAGACTATAAAACAATAAAACTGTGCATTTCTTTAATGTCAGTGGTTTCAAACCATGGATCTGTGCCCCCAGAAATCAATTACATGAAGTGGGTGGATGTTTTATCTGCTCTGAGGTTTAGAGCAGTGGTCAGAATAAAAAAAAAAGTTTGAGTCTAGGAGGTTACTCTAGGGACCAAGTTTAAAGAGGGTCAAAGACAAGAAGTGCAAACCACACATTCCTGAGCTAAAAAATAAAAAATAAAATAAAAAAAATAAAACTGCATCATTAACAACATTTTCAATGTTAACGATGGTTTGGCCATTTTGATGCATTAGCAATAGCGACAGTGAAAGCTAACAGTGGACTTTGAAATCAAAAAATGTTCTAAATTCCAGCCTGTGCTAGCTGTTGTTAGCAACCTGAAGCTAACTCCGGGTCTTCAACCAGCTGCTGATAGCAATTTGGAGCTAACCGCTAAGTGGATAGCACTAATAAACAGCTAAAACCACTGAGTGCTCAACTCGAACTTAAGTGAGCCATGGTTATTGATAAAATCATGGTAAATGGTGTCAGCTGGGCCATAAGTGCTGTCTCAAGCACAAGCAACTTTTTAAAGGAACAGGTATGTCTTAAGCACAAGCAACTTTTTAAAGGAACAGACTTGTTTTGAGATTATTAGCAAACAGAACTGGTTGTCTTCATTAATTTACGGCCATTCATTTTTTTTATGCCTTCAAGTTGAGATAATCCATGTTAGTAAAGGTAATGACTTTAAACGTATCACCTGCTATTGAATTCATTAAATTAACCTCGTGTAATTTAAGGTGGAAGGAACAAAAGCTTTATATTAAAGGCAGAAGTCATGTGTTCCCACAGCCAATCACGTCCTCCGGGATCACAGTGCTGTCCAATGGTACAGAAGCTGCACACACACGACACAGAATTAGTGGAATGAAATCGAAAAACGTTGTCTTTTACTTTGGTCTTGTCATGAACTATTTCATCCATTAGTACTAACTAAGCTCTTTTCAGCCAGTTCAGTCAATGACCCTACAGTGTCAACAGCCACAGTTTCTAAAGGTCTCGTTTAAGGCATGTGTCACGAAAGTTCAGCCTTAGTCCCAGGTCCGGGCAAAAATAATCAAGGTGCCTCAGTGTTCTGCTGGTTCATTCCTGGTACAGTTTCTCGCGAGGTCCGCGATCGCAATCGACTTCTCAGACGGTAACGTCATTAACTTAGCAAACAAACGAAGGATGACTTTTCCTCGACTTTACTTCATTCACAGTGAATCACACTTTCTCAAATGCCAACAGCGTCATCAGGGTGGAGAGGGTTATCCTTCATAACTATTCGAAGGAATCATGTGGATCAGAAGGTTTGCAGATGCTCTTGTTTTGAAAACTGCAGCTTGGCTAAATCAATAATCAGAGTTTTTTTTTATTGTCTTTAAAACTAAGACGTGTGTGGGTGATGAAAATTCAAACATCATGTGAGCCCTGCATCGTCCTATCAGATGAAGAGTTCCTGTCCTGGAAGCAGAAGATGATCAATTCAATCTCCCCGGAGTCTCTTATGCAAGCTCTGGCCGTGTCTCCATCTCTCCACGAGAAGCTGTACGCGCTCGAATGTAGTCGGTGCTCTGTGGTGCCCTCTGACCTCCGTTCCCCAGACGCCATTTTCGTATGGCCAGGAAGGTGTTAACTCCGTAAACAGCTGTCACCAGGAAGCCAAAGACCTACATCCAGGTGAGAAGAGGATGCAGAAGAACCGTGGTGTCAAGTTGAAAAAAGAAACTCATTTACCTTATCTGTGTCCAAAAGAGTTCAGTGAATGTGACACATAAACATGTAGTGTATATATATATATATATATATAAGTGGCGCTTTGGCCCAGAGGCAATGTCTCTGTCATTGGTGTGGACCCCCGGGGTTCACCTCCTGGGCAAGTTCGAATCCCGGTTAGGGCGGTTAATACCTTCCAGTGGACTCACCACCCGCAGGAAGGTTTGGTACGGTGCAATGTGATTTGGGAGGCGACTGCAGCCCCCGCGACACAGTAACGGATAAGCGGATGAAAATGGATGGATGGATATATATATATATACATATATACACATACATATATACATATATACACATACATATATACATACACATATATACATACATACATACATACACATATACTGTGTATACATACATACACACACACATATATAGATATATAGATAGAGATATATCTATATCTCTATCGATATCTATATCTATATGTAGATACCTAGACAGATTGATAAATAGATATAGTTTGTTGATTTTTTGGTCTCATCTTACCACAGCTGCTATTTCAGCTGAAGTGTTGTGGTTTACACAGGCCAGAACCAGAGATGACAAGGCAAAGAAGAAAGTGCTGGCTGCCGTGTTGACCAGGTCCTACAGGAAGATAAACAAAAACACATAGGATTCAAGTCAGGTCATTTAGTCCTGATAAATAAATAATAAATAAATACCAGTAATATTTATTTTTTTTAAATGCATTCACCCAAATACTGTAACTTTGTCAGTACTTGGAACAGCACGGTATACAGCACACAAGTCAGGGGTAAAAAAAACACACACCAGAGTTATTATTATTATTATTATTATTATTAGTAGTAGTAGTAGTAGTAGTAGTAGTAGTAGTAGTAGTAGTAGTATCCTTTAAAGGGAGTTTATCCACCAATTTCAGTTATATGAAGTTTGCATCACATTAAAGTGAGGGTAAGGAATAAGAGTTTCTGTTTATACCTAACACAAAAACCAGTGTACGTGTGTTTGTGTTGAAGAGAAAGAAGAAAAAGAAAAGAACAGAAAAGGCTAGTGAGGGAACGAGAGGGAGAGAGAGCTTTTCATTAGTTCCAACCAGGAGGGGGTTAACAGGGCCTGACTGGGCCACAGCCCTCGTGATCAGATGTGTGTGATCGTGATCATGGCAGACGTGGTCTCATATGACACACAAAGCTCAGACAATGGCCCTGTGACACACTCTCACACACAAGAATGACTGACACCGACACACACACACACACAACTCAGCAAGCAGCCTGCAGCAGTCACACACACACACACACACACACACACAACCTCACACTAGAGTCCTGTTTTTCCTGATCCAGGGTTTAATCATTTACTGATTAATATGGAACTATTGTGTGACAGCACACACCAACTGACACAGTCAACGTTCACCTGGGTTATTACACTCACCTGGAACTCTGCTCAGTCACATTTACGCAACGGGTTTATTCATCTCAGGCAAACACACACACACACACACACACGTCTATCACGCTCAGCAAGTTGAACTGGTCGTACTGTGTGTCCATGTCAAAAAGAGAAAGAGAGAGAGAGACTTCTACATTGAACACAGGACAAAGTTAAACATAAATAGTCAGTCACTACTTAACACTGAACCTGTGGATTATGATCGACTTCAACAAAGAGTTCATGCACGACCAGTGTTACTGTAGGTCGTCGAGGTCAGGAGGCGACGGTTGGGAAACACTGCCAGTCATGCTGAGATGAAATCAGCTTTTGTTGCAACAAATAATTAACAGCACGTTCAGCCATAAATGTGTTGCTAACGTTGCAAGAGCTGCAGGCCAGGACCGAGTGAAACAGAAACACAGCTGCACCAGAAAATATATTAAAAGCTCGTCCCACAGGGGAGGGGTCATTTTCTCACGAGCCGAGGGTTCATTTTATTTCTAACAATATATATATATACACATATATGTATACCGGAGACATTTGCAACTTGACAAAGTGCAAAATCTACAAGCATTTCTAACTATATATATATATACACATATATGTATATATATACATATATACAGTATGTATATATATATACATAGTTTTTGTTGAAAAGCTACTCTGGAAAAGGTTTTATTTTATTTTGAAATCCCACAGGTTTGTCACAAATATTCACAAGTTTCCAAAAGTTTTTTTTTTTTTGTTTTTGTTACATTTGAGAAGCGCCCTCCTCCGTTGAGTTGTGTACATAAAAGGGAGAAGTTCTCCACTCACACGATTCATGTTACCATATGCGGTTCTATTTATTGCTCAAATAATTCCAAAATTGCATCTTTAAAAACCACAAGAGGATTCAGAATAATAAATGTGAAACTCATACCGTCTTAAGTTGCAGTGAGTTACCAGGGGAAAAACATAACATTGGACGTCACTCCTTATTGTAGACAAAGACTAGATTTGATGTCTTTCATGTGCCGTGGTGGAAACTGTTTATTGGATTCCATTCATACGTGAAGTAAATAAGGGACGGGTAAAAAGGCTTTCAATCTGAGGTGATGACACATTAATGAATGTAGCAGATAATAGCCTCCATTATGCATGGAGCGGCTCAGTGCATAAACAGAGGGAAGGAGGCAAATACAAATGGATTCTAAAATGATGGTTTAATATGTACTGTATATTTGGAAGAGTTACAAGAAGTCAACTAAAAATGACAGGCAAATCAGGTGAGACTGGGTCTCAGAAAGGACTCGGTAACAGATGGATTAAACGGGTCAGACTTCTTATTTCGCCTGTAAACCTGAATGTATCATAGCGCCCCTGCAGGGGAGGGCAAGTTATTGTTTGAGTTTAAACTCCCTCTTGTGCAAAAACATAAACTCACCGAGTAAAAACCACTGAAAGTCACTGTGGTCTTTAAAACAAAACCCCAGTTTCTTTGGTTTTGTTTCTTGGGAGGCGTTGGGTGGAGCCAGGGGTCACGACCTGTGTTTCCCCCCTCAGTGACTGAATGAAGAGCCGAAGCAGGCAGTCGATGAGGTGTCAAAAAACTAGAACTAAACTAGAACCACCCCCACCCTCACCCCTCCAGGCCTGTTTCACTGGAGCAGCTTTGAACTTGGTAAACATAAACAGTGTGAGGTCGAAGCACTACTGCGTGGTACAGCCGCTGTTACAGTGAAATGTTGGAGCTGAGTCAGAACAGAGAAAAGAAGAACTGTGAACAGCAGATGTTTCACGTATTAAAAGAAAATCATTTGTCTAAGAAACCAAAAACGTACGTTTTTTTTTTTCTTTCCTGTTTCTGTTTTCAACCGTTTTTAGCTTTTATGAAACCTCAGCTGTGGGTTAAATCCACGGTGCCCAACCTTTTTTGTACCAGGGACCAGTCGGTCGATACCGACTGTTACTGCAGACGAGTTGTTTAATCGCCATTGAGGATCGATACATTTTAAAAGTGATATTTTTAAGACTTTTGTTAGAATTGCAACCTCAATGACATTATTTTTTTAATATTGCCAGATTATCTTTGAATGAAGAAAGTAAATAGTGAGTGGGTTCTCTTTGAATGAAGTAAATTAGTAAAAAAAAATAATAAAAAAATAAAAAAGTGTCTCACTGTGGCCCGGTACCAAATTATCTAAGAACCTGCACCAGACCACGGACCGGAGGTTGGGGATCCTTGGTTCAAATGACTTCCAAAAACCAAAAAGTCCATATTAATGACATATTGCTATAGTTACAAATCACCTGAGTGGAGAACTCATCAGAGCTGAAAAGGAAAGACGGAGAAAAGAATGAACAGAAGGTTTTCCGATCTCATAAAGTCATCATCTTTAAAAGCTTTTTCTTTAGCTTTTGATTGTCACCGCGCCAGAAGGAAAGGCCAAAAGCCCCCTGTCCTTCCTCTTGTTTAAGGTGGAAAACTTCAACGGTCTATTAGCTACGGTTCTACCAAAACATATGGCTTAACATTCGCTATGTCATAATCAGTAGAGTGTGTTAGATGTGGGCCCTGAAATAAGAGTTTCAAACATCTCTTTCCACTGCTCACGAGAGAAGAGTTGGCTTAGAACACACCACTGTGTGAGTGTGTGTACGTACGTGTGTGTGGGCAAATACTGAAAGTCAACCAGTATCTGCTGGAGAACACCCACCAGCTAATTTGCTTCCAGCTGACGTTGCATATCCCGGTGGTAAAGAGTGGAACTGCGCTCAGTTCTAAACACACTGAGCTTCGTGAAAGAACATTTTTCTTGAAGTTTCTTATCTTTGTTTGTCTGAAGAGTCTCCAACTCTTTCATCGCTCTTTAAAGACCAGTTTTCACCTTCACATCCATTGTGTGATTAAAAGAACTCGACTTTGATGGAGAAAGATTTTCAGGGGACAAATCAAATGTCCTCCATTATCATGTAGTTTAAGATGAAGAAAAAGTGAGATACGGACCGTGTAAGAAGCTGAGGGAGGCTTGAGGATGCATTTATAGACATTTTCTTTATACTTGAAAGACTTTCAAAGGAAATACTCTAGACCACAATTATTCAAATATTTTAAGAAATGAATAAATAAAAGGAAGATGAAGCAAAAGAAGAAAAGGAAGACGAAAAAAAACCTTGTACATATTTATATATGTCAGTTGCATGTGTTGGTTCATGGGGAAAAAAGTGGCCTGCGCCCCAGTAGTTGGACACCGTTACTGAAGGATTTTGTTGTACTCACTGTGAGGTTCCAGTTGACGTGGGGCACCTTGGTGTGGAAACTGAGAGTGAAGATGAGAAGCAGGACTCCCGTCACCACGAAGGCACTGCAGCTGACGAACTCAAAGAAGTAGACTGCTCCGCAAGGGGAACACAACATGATTGTCTCTATGCAGATTAATCCAATAAGTGATAAAACCTGAGGGGAGAGCAAACAACAGGAAGTTATTCCAGATAATGAATTAAGACTGCACTGAATAAAATGACACACTTGTGTTTCTCGATGTGCTGTGATCATGTCGTTGGGTTGGGTCTTGTATTAATAGTGTTGATTTATACCTTATTTAGTTAATATGTGTGTGTTGATTTACCATGTTTCTTTCATCAGACTAAAATCATGGAAAACTGGTGAATTGATTGTTCGTTTTTTATCATACAGCCCACTGATGGACTGGCACTGATGGACCCCACATTTCCGTCATAACTGCTGCACCATGTGACTAATCAAGAGTTCTAGAAGTCTAGAAAATAGACAGAATGTTGTGTTTGAGTTGAATTCGAGGTAAAAAAAAACAACAACAACAAAAAACAGTACATGTAGGTACCGTTTACAACCAAAGCATCAATAGCAGTAATAAGAGGCTGTTTCACACTGAGCGTTGACAAACACGTCAAAAATCTGTTGAATGTTCGTCAGACTTACTCACGGTCCTGTCATCAGAACATTTACCGCTGCTGACAGTTTTGTGAAGTTGTTACAGCCTCTATTTTTTAAAGAAAATCTAAAAAAAAAAGTCAGGATTACAGCAGTATATTTCCCCTCAGAACACTCATGTATATTCAATGGATGGGTCAGTAAAAGTCACTGCTAGATTCTAGGTCAAACAGAGGGTAAACAGAGACCAGTCCAACCCTTTTATTTGGTCCGACTGTTAAAAGTAGTTTTTTTTTTCCTGTTTGTTGTATTGTCCACAGCAGACTATGGAATGTTATGGAACTCTTAATTGCTGTCAACGTTCAGATCAGAGGGCTGTAAAGCTCAGACTGACAGTCAACAAACCGTTCTATTATGTTAATGGCTTTAAAATCGATGATGTCACTTGTATCCACCTGTCATTATGACAGAGATGTCGGTAAAACCCAATAGGAATTTTCATATTATCTAATACCAGGATTAATCACGTCTAGCTCATTAAACCCATTTTCCAAATGATCTCTAAAATGTTATAATGAAATATAATGCCAAACTTCAATAGCCAACAACTGTTATCCAGTTGCTGAGTAGTAAATATTATCTTTACTTTTTTAGTTTTTTTCTAGTCTTGAGATCTTTGAAATAACCTTCATAGAAATCCACAAATACAGATCACAGTGATGCAATTACCTCTGGTACTTCACTGCAAACGGTACAAAAACAAAGCCTCACTTTATGCTGCTAATAAGACACGACTATTGTTGGACAGATACCAGTCCCTCTTGGTTATAACACAGAAAGAAGGGTTACACCCAGACAATAGAGGCGAACTGTTAGGATTAATGGATGATGTCATTTCTCATGAAGGAGGCCTGTTGCTATCCCCAAGTCCCTGTAGCAGGTGTGAGGAGATAAGCCATTGTACTGAATAATCTTGTTAGAAAGCACTTACTTTCAACCCTTAATCCCGCACGACCAATTTGTCATAAATACAAAGAGGTTAATATGAATATCTGCACTTTATCTTCTACATAAAAGCAGCTTCTCAGATATAATTCCATTTGTGTTATATTTGTTTGTTTTTTTTTTACAGACTGTCTGGGAAACACCATCTGCCGTGGACAGACACACTAAGCTGGCCTCTCTGGAGAAACCAGCTTCTATTATGGGCTACACTGCCAGTTCTTTGTGACTACATGTACCAAGAAATGACCTAAAGTGCTGAACATGCTTCAGCTGCAGCCCACAGTCATCCATGTGATGGAAAATGTGGCCAAAGTGCAGGTTATATTTCAGCCTGGAGGCCATGGCAACAGCAGCGCCATCGATGTCTCTAACCAATGTATGGACCCTGTTCATGTCTCTGTCTCTCCACAAAAGCTACAAATAAGTAATGTTTCAAGCAGAACACAGTGTCCCTCTCAGAGGAGGAAGTGCTCACTGACATTTGGGAACGTCTGGTAACTTCATTACAGAACGGTAACGGTGAATTAAAGAGAGAGAGAAAAAAAAAAAAGAACTACTCCAGCACTGTTAGTGGTGGAAAGGAACCCTGGTCTCCAGTGAAGACAAACAAAATGGTCCTCAGCAAGCACAGGTCAATGAAAATGTCAAGACCTAATCATTTTAATGATATCCGCTGTGCTAACAATAGCTGGGCGTGGAAGTAATATTGAAAACATTTCCTGAGAGCCATACGAACGTGCAGTCAGGTGAGAGACATGCAGATGGGCTAAAGCAACCGGTATCAGACTCAAGGGTTCTGTTGGTTCTGGTCTTATATACACAATTTTCCCCGCTGATATTTGCCAGTAAATATCCCTTTAAACTTGCACAAGAAAAACATGCTGCTTACAGACAACCAAACCAAAGCCAAGTCTTGCTAATTTGCTGTTAGCAAGTGTGCTAAACAGCATGGAAGCTGAACCTACACAATACAAATGTGCGTTTATGCAACATACTTCAGGTGCTTCAAGTTCTAGAAACTTACAAACGGTGTCCCCACACATGAAGACAAAGAAGACATATCTAAGTAGGAAATCGTTTGTCAAAGTAGAGCAATATTTGGTTAAGCTAACGCAAACACACACAAAAAAAGTCGGTTTTACCATAAAGCCTTTAGACAAATAAAAGTCAGTCAACAGAATAAAACACTCACTAAGAAACTGAATTAGCACGACATGAGCAACTTGTGGTCAACTGTTTTCTTTACAACATTTGACAAGGATTTCAAGGGGTTTTATAAATCAAAAACCTAACCAATGAATTTGAACTTGCTAACTCTTGGTTACTGCACGGGCCAAATCTCTCCCAAGGCCTTGACAGATGACGTTCTCCTCAATGCTAACTCTGGGTTACTGCACGGGCCAAATGAAGGCCTTGACAGATGGCGTTCTCCCCAACTTCCCACAAGTACTGAGGTAAAGGTAACAGGTGTGTGCAAGAGCTTGCAAACTTGGGCACTAACAATAGGCCAACAGTCCCTAAAAATCCACAATTCTTAACAAAAAATTAGACAAAACTACAGGAGAGTAAAGCAGCAATATTATGGGACAGTTTGGACTATTCGTTTGCTGTGCTACCCACAAATGTTTTTTGAGGTAATTGCTAGTTTCCTCAACCGAACTCCAGGGTTTTTCCTGTTGTTGGACACACAGCTTCGAGCATATGAGTCTGCAGGACTGTGTCTAAATATTTTGGCAGCAGAAGAAGAAAATTGGCTGTGGTTTGATAGACATTTCCTCCTTTGGTGAAACGTCAGAGCTCAGGGAGCACATGCTCGGTTGCTGCCGAGTCTTCCGCTTCTTCAGACATCTGGTTTAAGTGTGTGTTGATTCAGTATAACGTCAAAAATGTTTTCTGTTTAGCTTCAATTCTTCTTCTCCTTTTTTTTGGTGTTTTACTGTCGTTGGTATAAGTGATGTTGCATTACTGCCCTTTCTGCTCTTTGCCCCTTCTTATTTCCTGATTTCTCATTATTCCTCCTCCTCCTCAGTCTTGACATAGTTGGCTCCCAGAACATTGGCTCCATATTTGCTAGTCTTGACATAGTTGTCTCCCAGAACATTGGCTCCATATTTGCTGTTGTATTTTACTCTGATGCTATCTAAAGGCCATGGATCTACAGACTTCACCAGACACCACTCATGATACCGTTTAGATCTGGGAAAACTCTGTTGTGTCTCAATTATAGAAAATATGTCTGTGATGGTCCTTCAGATGGTTCACTCCATCAGAACATTGAAGATAAACAACAGGAAGCTAATCCTGGTAGATGTTCCAGAATCCCACACTACTGTAAGGCATTGTTGGGAAGGTTACTGTAATTAGTCGGCTGGCTGACCCAGTTTCCTGTGAACTCCTTTCATGTACACAGTGTAGGTTAAATGTAGCAGCATCTAGTGGTGAGATCAAACAACACTCAAGCTTTCAAATACTAAACTGTATAAAGAGGACATTTGATTAATTCTGATGGACTTCTGTCCACTGTGACGTGACGACTCAGCATGACTTCCCATATTGGGACCTAACATTATTCCACATTTTTAATAGTCCCATTCCTGGGTTACAGGGCAGAAATATTGTTGGGTCATTGTTTTCTACCAATGATGCGTCACCGTTGGTATTACACTCTCCCATGATACTGCACATCCCTGAAAATGACAATCATCTGTGATCACTCCAACACTTACCACTTCAACCACCTTCAAAATTCCAAAGTAAGACTTGAGGTACTCCAGGTCACACCTTAACCCCCCGAACACGGTTCGTGAGTGGACGGGCTCGGTGGTGGGCTGATAGGGGCTGCTTGCCCCGGAGATCATGGACGTGTTGGAGGCCTCGCCGTCCAAGCCCTCGGTCTCCTCGGTGGTCCTCATGATGGTTACGGGGTATAAGCTGGAGTCCTGACAAACCGCCTGGAGATGAGGCTCACGGCGCAGGTTTGGTGACAGAAAGCACACTTTGTTCCATGCAGATTGGAAGTGGATGGAGAAAACTAACTAGATGGTCCACTTTTAACAACCACCCCACGGGGGAAACATCCACGGCGGCTGCCCTTCAGCGGTACAAGCAGGAAAATCCGGCTGGGATCCGTTTAAATGTCACCCTGCTGCGTTTCTTCCTGCGTCGCTGTATTCCCTCTCTCTCTCTCTCTCGCTCGCTCAGAACTATGTTAGGCGGGTCACTTGTTCGAGTGTGTGTCACTCTGCTCTGCCATGGACGATTCTGGTTAGTTCAGGGGCACAGTAGAAAAAAAACAAACGCCCACCGAGCTGTGGGAAACCCAAAAAAACACGAAGCCATTGTGGTCCAGACGAACCGAGAAAGGAAGAAAGAGAGAGAGAGGTAGAGTCGCTTATGTTCTCCGTGTTAATCTACTGAGGCTACTCTCTCTCTCTCTCTCTCTCTCGCTCTATCTCAAAACACCGACCTACACTCGGACTGCCTCCACCCGCCATGGATGCAGGCACTGTTTGTCTCCGCCCCTCTCAGAACGGCACATTCTTGTGAAGGCGCTGCGCCAGTTCTCAAGTGTCCCTGAGCAGCCCGCCAATCGAACCCAACAGGAACCAGGCCGACAGCACCGCATCTGCCTCCATTCTCCACACAGAACCGCTGTTACACGTACTGAGCTCACGGACACCCACTACAGTACTGTTGCCCCTCTGCCAAGACTGGACATTCAAGTCTCAGTACCTCTGAGGGTCAACATTTCTTTTATTAGTATTTTTAACAAGGACCATTTATAGGTTATATGTGAGAATTTGACTTAATAACGTTTTGTTATATACGTATATATATATAACTGGACTAAGACGTGACACCACAAAGGTGACGTAATACAACCCCTCCGAACGTGTTCCGTTGGTCTTAAATGAATATTGTGGAAATGAAACTAATACTCCATCTGTTAACAAGCAAAAAATTGTGACATTTATATTATGAGGTCAGTTTTGTGAATTAAAATGACATAGACAGAGGTGGAGAAGGTGAATAATATCACCTGTGACTGACTACTGGATTGGCACATAGGAGCCAGACCACCTGTCAGAGTCTATGAATTTCACCAGCAAATTGATGTCGATACAGTTTACTACTGCAATGTGAAGGGACCGTGATGTTTACGCAACCCTAGCTGCAAATTAAAATACAAAAAAAAAAAAAAAAAAAACTATTTGTAAAGTTGTGGTGCAAACTGAAGTTTGTAAATGTCTACCAAGGTGTCGACCAGCCCTGAGAATATTCTGGAAAAGCTTCATTTCTGTCCACCGTGGCAGGTTTACTACACTGCAGTAGAAAGGACTCCATCATAACCACACACAAAGTGACACCTCCCTGTCCCCTGGTGCGAAACTGTGACCTATTCCATTTCTCTTTCTGTCACACACAATATACAAAGGAGCAAAACTGCTGACATTTGTATTTCCTTGTCACAATTGTTTCAATTTAACTAGAGTTACTGTATGTCCGGGCTACTACATTTTGTCAGTTAAAATAAAATGACCTCATGCCCAACTGTGCATCTTAGATAAACTAATTTGCAGTCCTTGGTTTTATCTCGTTCGCACAGCAGAAAAAAAAAAATCAAATGTACTTTAAGTTAAGAACAAACACAAACAAAACCACTGTTGTGTGGGTTTTTACAATTAACAGGATGGTGCCTGGGGATGCTGGCAGTACTGGAGTAACTGGAAACACAAAGTTGTATCCAGGAAGTTAGTTACGTTGATAATGTGACAACTGTCTCCAGTTTCAAGGAGCTGCATGTTTCAGCTTTGAGAACCAATAAATGCCAAATAATGTTAATTATACAAACTGTTAAAACTAAGCAAATCTAACCGAAACCAGGATATAACGTGTAGGTAATCAACAAAGCTATTTGATACAGAAACATATTAAACATAATGTGTAATATATTTAGTCCTGCTGTGTTTGAATTTGAACACATTGTTGTTAATGACATTTTTTTCTATTTTCATTAAACCTGAAGAACCAAATCTGTGAATAGTTTACTTCATCATTTCACATTAAATTGACCAACAAATAGTTTAGATTCTTGCTTTTATTGAAGCCAGGGGTCTGATAAACATTTTATTTATCTTTGTTGGAGTAAGGAGCTGGAAATCAAAAAGTAGCCGTTTTAGAAAAGAAAAAAAAAAAAAAAATCATACAATCATACTTCCAAATTAGTTCCGATGACAAAAATGCAGCCAGAAACATGGTTACGCTATATGTCCTGAATACAAAAGTACTGGAATCAGAAGCACACAGCCTTATATGGACGATGCCTGAGCCTACAGTGATCAAGGGCCTTTTCATTAAAGGTGAAGAGGTTTAAGGTAGAAATGTTCCAACACTTTTCATTATTTACTGCTGGAAGCAACACCAAATCTTCAAAAGACGCAAGTGCGACATTAAAACCCAGCAGTTTGAGAGCACTTCATTCCACTCAGCTCTGTCACAAATTACTCTGTGGTTAGGATTCATTTGGATGAATCAGCAGTTTGTCTGACATTTCAAAATGAATGTCTGCCGGCAAAACTACAGATGAATAAAAACAGGAGGATATTTCATGGACAAGGGGACAACCCTGTGGACAAGTGTTTCATCAGGAAAAGAAATGCATAATGATAAGGAATTCACAGGACAATTATTCCATACTGAACCACAGGGGGCGGTATTTATAAAATAGCAGCCGTTACATTACCTATATTACCTTCTACAGTAATTTCTATCAAAAAAAAAATGCTAAGCAGCAAAAAAAAAAACTATCTGTATCTTAAACTGAACATTGAGGAATTGACAAAAACTGTTCCTAGAAAAGTGCTTATAATAAAATGTGGAGGAGCTGTTGTCTTTACTAAATTTGTGCTTAATCTTCTTAGGCAACACACCGTTTATACAATAAAAAGAGAGAGGGAAAAAAAAGAGCTTTAGTTTAATTGTGAGTAGATAACAGAGGCCAATCATTTCAGACAAATTAAATCATGCTGGAAGTAGAATAAACAACGACATTCCTGCGTGGTTACTCTCTCGCAGAGTATGCGTTTGAAAATACAATAGCAACCCCAATTTTATTGTATCTCAATCCAGGTTTAGAAAACTCATAGCTCACAAAGTCGGCCTTTACACTTCTGAGAAGCCAAACACTGCGTGGACTAAGGCATTTTATGGGGAGGTAGGAAATTTATGGTAAGCATGAAATGTGGAATTCAAGTGCTCCATGGAAAAGTAAACAACAGCCACTAGTTATTCTCGTGGATGATTAACAGCTAAAAAAAAAAAAAAAACCAAAACAGTGACTAATGTGCATCTTTGGTTCCATGTTTCAGGTCACTACACATTTCCTTGTGATTTTTGTTGCACTAACATGTGAACGCTCCACATGTACTACCACGTATACGTGATTACGCTAGGCCTTGCATGTTGACTTTAAATCGCAGACTTAAGTTCAATTCAGATGCTAGCGGCGTGCGATCGGAGTTGTTACAGATAATGTGAAATGTTAGTTCATGACAAATAAAAAGTAAAAAAAGCGATATAAGACAAGGTCAAGCTACTCGTTAGGATCTAAATGAATCAGGAGTATTTCTGAGAAGGCATGAGAGCCAGGCTGCGACCGACAGCTGTACCTCAAAGGCAAACACCATCATCTAAAGATAAGAAACCTCATGGGGTATTCCTAATGGGATGTTTCTACCAACTACTTCAAGTAGAAACTGGGAATGTTTTAACTGTTTTAATGGACATGCAAAGTAAAGCGAGAATATAACATATCAAACTGGAGGAGCACAGTGCTGTCAAACACTGAAATAACACTACACTGACCGGACTACACCACAGTCAGTTGAAGTGTTTTGGCTGCAGGAGCGACAGGTTCAATTTAACCACAGTAAGTGTTGGTCGTTGGGGGGGGGGAACACAGAGTTCCATCGTCTGGTTTCTCGACAACATCAGCAGCCGTTACAGTTTGTCTCAAGGCATTCAATCTACAGACAAGGCCACAGAAATGTAGTTTCCGTAAGTATTAACAGTGACCACAGGCTTGTTGTACACAAACAAACAAAACAAAACAAAAAAAAGCAAAATGAAATAAATTATTTGGATGACAACAAACTGGACAAAAACGTATCCTTGAACCGTGCTACAGTGCCTTTCTTCTAATGCAGACCAGCACCTCTACTATGACACTAACAGCTAACTGCGAGGCACTTAGGCGTTATAGTAGGAAAGATGCTGCCCTCTCCAAATACACATATTCCGTAGCTAAAGAAGAGATCCTGCTGCAGCCTTTAAGCCTGTCAACATCCAGTCAAAAAGCGTTTTGTTTTTCTTTTCTCCAAAATTAGAAAGAAATGCATTCTGTACAAAATTAAAGTTAACCTGAATAGATTTTTTTGTGTTCCGTATTTACAGAATCCTTCAAGATGACAAGGGAAATGATGTGATACGCTGTCAGCTTGTAGTACTTTCATATTAGTGTCAAGACCTCAGTGGCATTTTTACACGTCGTGTGATGTAAATCCATGTTTCCTTATACTGATGGATAAAATAAAATGGAATCTTGTATAAATACACCAGAGTTTTATCCCATATTTTTTTGTACACGCTAGAACAAATATTTTAATTCTTTTATCACTGAACATATACGCAGTTTAAATAACTTTCCAATCGCAACCAAATTCCTTCCATCTAATCGTCTGAACCACATCCGACGGGTCCAGTGTTTTTCCCGCTCATTTAATTCATGAAAAGAACATAACGCACCCCACGAACTGGGGGGTGGGAGTAGACCAGCACGTCGGGTTGGATGCCCAAGGAGTGTGCACACAATTCTGTCATCTGACTTTTCCCCACAAAATAACATTTAGAAGACAGCAGAGAAACAGAGCCAAGCCTTTAGCACTTACGTAATCAATACTTCAATCTCTGTCACCTCTCTTCTCATCTCACCACAACCCCAAAAATATCTGATAGCATCTGAAACCTGTATTTTGGCGAAGCCACTTTGTGCTGCTGACTGATATGGAGGCGTTTTTGAATTTGGTCAATTTCGTTTAACACTCAGACGTACATGTAATTTTTCCAGAGTAGTTATACAGTGGTTGATGCAGTTTGTTTTTTTTTTTTTATGCTGTTGCCTTCATGCTTCGTTCTCTGTCGGTGGCGGTACATTGTTCGCTGAAACCACAGGGTCTTGCTTGCGAGTCATCCTGTCCAACTCCGCCTGCACGTCAGTCAAACCCGGCTTCTGCCCTTGGGAAAATGGGAGACAAAGTCCAACAGTAATCTCCTGTAGTGTCTGTGCGTGTGTACGAATTACACTTTCATACGGCCAGCAAGCAGACAGATGGATGTTGGTTATGAGTTATGAGTTAAAACCAAAACCATGCCAAACTCATCATCAGACAAAAAGCGTGGTGCATGCATGCATTGTTCTTTCAGCCGAGACACAGAGACGCTGCACGACTGTGTTTTCTGAAAGTTAACTTTGTCAGTGTTCGAATTTGTTCTCTTTTAATCAAAGGCCTAAAATGTTTTCACTCCTTGTCTTACTAAGTTGAGTGATAAAATAAAAGTGGCAAAGAAAACACAAAATGTGCTTTTTAAGTGTCAAAGGTCACACTGGTCTCATTATTTTATTACATAAGAGGCATGTGTCATATACCGTGGAACTCTGACACAGTGCACAAACTATATAACTAGACTGTCTTTTTACTTTTAGTATTAGTGGCACCAGCTAATGTTATTTACATTATGCCAAAAAGCACAACTTGCAATAAGTACTGATTTAATTATTATTAATAAAACTGTGCAAGAAAACATGCTCATCCAAAAAAAAAAGCACAAGCAAAACATCTTTAGTTCCTGTAATAAAACATAACTTCACATTGCAGGACAATAGTACAGTAATATGGAGTGAAGTTAGTGACGTTATATTAATGAGAGTTGTGATGAGAGATGTGTGGGAGGAGAAAGGGGGGGGGCATACAGGCCTGTCACAGGCTTCCTCTGAAGAGAGAAGTTCAGTCAAAGAACTTCCTCTTGTTTAACTGTGGTTTTCCTGCTACAGAGATAAAACTGCAGACAGGATAGTGGTCCACAACCTCTATTAACCAAAAAAGGCTCTAACCCTAAATGACCCGAGTCTCACTGTTCAGCCTGGAAGGAAGAAAGTGTGACATCATGCAGCCTGTGTTCGTGAGGAGGGCAGAAATAAAAAATGTTACCTGTTTTCTTGGCCGATCCTTGGACTCCAGCTCCAACTGCTCCACTTCCTGGGCTTCCGGGGGATCCGGTCTTTTTACTCAACAGACTGTTGAAGAAGCTAGCCAGCACTCCTTCATTAGCAGCCCCTGCTGCAGGACAATAAAACACACAGGTTTAAGTACAATGCACCAAGAGGTGACAGCAAAGCCAATCCTCCATGGAAAACACAATAAAAGTAGTTATATTAATTTAATATATACCAATAAATAAAGTTTCAATAATATTGATCAACTTTTGCTCAAAACTTGTCATAAGCTCAAATGTCCTGCATTATTACAGTTGTTGCCACCAGAGGGCAGTATTTCCCGACATATCAGAAACAAAAGACACATAACCGGAATCACTTGTGTGTTTTTTTTTTAGAAAAGGTTTGATATCATAAGATAGTGTCCTACCTTTCATGTTAGGGTCAGGCTTTTTGACAGCAGCCATTGGTGAGCTGCTGGTCACTGTTGGTTGCCCTGGACGAACGGTGGGTCTGGGCGACACTGAAGACGGTCTTCCAGGAGACTCCTGTAACAGCGTGAGCACAAAAATCAATTAGAAAGGAAATTTTAAATATTCAGACATGGAATGGTGTAAATATTAACTAATGAAATAACATTTTTAGATGGTTTAAAAGCACTCACTGTGGCTCCTCTTGTTGGGGTTGCCGGCTGCTTCGCCAATAAAGACTAAAAAGAAGAGACGTTTAGAGAGATTAGATTAGGGTGAACAAAATGGGTAAATTAGGTGAACAAATGCGAAAAACAAACATATCACATTTACTTATTTTCTATTTCTCATCTTTATATTTACGGAAACAAAATGAGAGGGGAGAAGCAAAAAGAGGAAGCTTGACAGGCACAATTTCAGCAAAATAGGAAGCGTAGGAAAGTAATGAGGAAGTTTGAGATGTGACTCAGGGCAAAAAAAAAAAAGACATTTGTTTTACAGTTGAACTTATGTAATCCAGTGTTAGAAGAAAGCAACACATACCTGCTGCTTCATCAGGAAAACCTGCTCATCCTCTGCATGGATCTCTTTGTCGTGAACCAGCTACAGATAAGAGCAGAAATGACGCCATTAAAATGACCAGATTATATGGTGTTGAGGGCAGCAATCGTCACAAAAGTCATTAGAGAGTGTTACCTTTCGAACAGGAGGCTTTGTAATAAAATCTTCAAAAGGATCTTCAGGTCTGACTGTTGTCAAGCTTTCATGCAAAAAGCTGATTTTCTTCTCATTATCCCATCCAGATGGGCTAAAGAGGACACACTGTTAGTACCAGTGACTGCAGAAAACATTATCATTACACAGAATTTCTATTTATTCTAAAACATTACAACTATAACAGACAGAGAAGTTAATGATAAAGTGCTTGGCTAACATACATGAAAACTGCATCTTTCTCCACCACAATAGCAGGCGCGGTGAACTGGAAGTCATAAATCTTATGTACTATGTATTTATAAAGCAGATCCATGTTTTTCTCCTCTTTGACTGAAGTATAGATCAGACCGGCTCCATCTGATATCTTTGGTCAAGGCACAAACATCGAAAGAGATGCACAAAAGGCAAAAATAGAAGATATAAATAGAAGATAAAATAAAAGAATAAAAAAGCTAAATTGTTTGGGTTTTTTTTCTCTGTGCAAAAGAAGAAAGATTGAGAGATTTCACCTGTCAGTTTAATTGGTTACCATTCACTTATTTAGATTTATATTTGTACTGTATACAAAGCATGATTGTAGATGAAATGCAGAATCCAAAAAGGATACAGTTTAAACAGAACCGTCGCAGGTTTGACTGGATGAAATCAAAGTGCTCCTCTCTGTAATCGTGTTCTTTCTCTAGTACGCTGACTGCATCACACTGGGAAATGAAATGTGGAGAGGTGAGGAGGTGAAACTGAATGTTCACCATGAAAATAAACACATCACATCAAAAAATTTGAAATGAATTGGCTGCATTATATGCAGACTGTTCATACAGTACAGTTCATGACACATACAAAACAAACACCCATTCACACTCAACCTCATTCAATCCAACTAGTCTCACATGTTTTTGAACTGGGAGAAAACTGAAGTACTTGGAGAAAACCTATGCAAATACAGTAAGGGAAGTAATTTTAAATTCCATTCAGAAAGACTGAAGTTGGATCCGTTGGAGCCAAGACCCTCACTGGTGATTTCTAACTTTAGGCTCGGTCACTAATCATATTGACACAGTGTAGCCAGAAACACAGGCGGCCAAAAAGGCAGTGTGTTCATTAAGCTTTAAAATCACCACGGGACAACACTTTGTTTTATTGGGTTTAGCTTGGCAAAAGCAACTTTGAAAAAAAAAAAAAAAAAGAAAATGGAATAATACAAAGCTCGATGTGTCAATTTGATGTTCCATCAACTGGTTAGTTTTGGAAATAAATAAGATGAAGAGGCTCTCAGGTGGCAAAGGTGTAAATGCACTTCAACACAAACAAAAACAAAAACAAAAAAAAAACAGCCATACTTTCTGTCAAACGTATGAACACACAACATACTTCACTCACTGCTGACAGTATTTACCTTTGTGCAAACTATTAGCACTGGAATGCCCAGATTGTTGGTTAGTGTGTTGTCACCAAGTGGAAGCACAACGGCCTCTTCTTCCCCAGTTGGAGCTCGTCTCTGTGGGGATGTGGCTGCATCTTCGGGTGCACTGTACTCCTGGAAGTCTTTTACAACTTGAGGGGGAAAAAAAAAATCAGATATTAATAAAGGTACAAAACAGGTGAGCCAAACCAGTTTGAAGAAAGTTTTTAAAAAATGTATCAGAATTCAAATGTCAAACCACCTTAAAAAAACAGAATGCCGTTGTCTATTTAGTAACCTGTTCCACAACATAATAGTTGAAGCGAGTGTTTTGTTTAAATGTCTTTTGAAAAGAAAAATGCTGGCAGCTTCACCAGGTGTTAATAAATAGGCCATAGACATAGATAAAAGTGAAACACAGATACGTCAAATGCACTATCGCTAGTGTTCTCTCCAAAGGCTACTTAATATATAATAACATACATTTATAAATAACTTTCAACTGAGACCAGAGAATGCAGGAAGGCCTACTTCCTCAGGATCTTCAGGAATGCAGTTGAAGGCGGCCAAAAAAAAAAAAAGATAGAGTTTTCTGTTTGGAGCTTGCTTTCTTTTTACACGTAGGATTGAGTGTGTGGGCTGCGACAAAGTCAAATCCTGCCTCAACGTCCCTCCTCTTAGAGACTCGGAGAGAGAAAAATATTAAAACAAAAGATAAAATTGGATTTGGGCAAAAAATTTCAATTTCTCCACTACTAAACACTATGTGAATTCTCTGCACGATGTTGATAGAAGTAGGCTGAGTCTGTAACTTGACAACCCATCAGCCAACCTACTTCAGTTACAGCAGAGGAGCAGCAGCCAGAATGTCCTGCCCACTCTCTAAAGCCTCTTCCTTTCCCCTGACGTTGAAGGGGAGGGAACCATGATGCAAGAAGACTGCAAGACTCCACAGACAAAAAAAAAAAAAAGTTGGCCACACACTCTCAGACCATCACTCTGCCTGCTTTCCTCACTCACACACTCACATCCCCAAATAGATAATCTGTGGTGTCACCAGTGTTATGAGGACATAACCTGGTCTTGACTTATGGAGTGGAAGAGGCTTTATTATCTAAATGATCAGTATTTTTACAATACAAAATCACCAAACTAGACATATATTAATATAAAACTTAATTAATTAGGATTAAAAAAGGCTTAACTATAAAATTGAAATCACTAATAAAGTGTTTTAATTTACAACTCATGTGTGAAGTCATCACCCGGCCTTGATTTTCATGACCGCCAGCTCCCAAAATACTTGTCGCCACTTGTCATAATGTTTGAATATCAACACAACACTCAACTGTTACATAGTCATCATATTCAGAACATCAGCTAGCAATACACTGTGTAAAAATCGTGACCACGGACCACAAAACGGCAGTTCGTGAACTTTTCGTACAACCCTGTGGGTTGTCATAAGAGCGTTAACGTCCACAGACGTAAAAGATCTGTTCATACGTTAGAGATGAGCAAGATCTAAAATTAACAAGAGAACAACATCAACTGAATCACATGCACGAACTCCCTGAACATGCCTCCAGCTACAGCAAACAGTGCCGTATCATTGGCCTCACTGGTTATCATGTAGAAACATCTATCTACCAGCAGCCACTCAGTAAGGTCTGGTGCTAATGATGATTTAAAGGCCAAAACATTGTTTCATTTCAGAAGTACAACCTAATAAAACACAAATCAAGAACTTAGTTTCTCATTAAAAAAGGATTTACAGTTAAAGAAAACAAAGATTGTTTTCACTCAGCTCAAGGCATCACATGAGTCACTTTGACCAACCATTAAGGGGTAATGACTCTTGTGGTTACAATTGCCTTATTTTAACAAGGTCAAAACAACATGAACACCAAGACAGTGCATACAAGTCAGAATTGATTTGTGTATTGAGGGATTATATCAAATCCAATCAAAAACTACTATAAATTTTTTTTTGTCTTGTAATAGAAACTGACGAAATGAAGGGGTTCAACACTGAGTTGTATTATGATGAGTCACAGTGAAACAGGGCAGCTGCCCAATAGTGTTATTTATTGATGTAGAGCTGTAATTAAATAAAATGCTTTGCGGTTAATCTTCGAAGCAAGAAGCTGATCGTATTTGTTTATGGCAAACGAAGAAGAAAGAGCTTTTCACATGTGACAAAGGATAATTTTTGGTCAGTGGGTCAACAATAATCCAAAACATACATTTTAGACTGTAACTTATGTGAAGAAAATGCACAGTCACTCACTTTTCTGCTCCATCTCTCTCATCTTCTCATGGGGGATTTTAAGCTTGTCCACATGGTCACGCAGCACGCTGGCCCACTTCTGTAGTGACTCCATTATAGTCCAGGGTCGTGACATATCCGCAACAAATAGAGCTAGACAGTCAGGTAGTGACTGAGCTGAAACAGCAAACTTGAGTAGGCCTTTGTGGTAAACGTCTCCATCCAGAATCCACACATTACAGCGAGTGAGGTCTGCGAAGGGAAACGCAATCATGTATGAGCAGCACAATTACTCTGACAAGATGCTGTCAATCGGACTTCAGCAGACATCTGTAACAGATGAATGAAGATGCTGTCAATCGGAAAGTCTACTTCAGCAGACATCTGTAACAGATGAACCTACCATCTCTGTCCTCATCATGGACATTTATGTACTGGTACTCCAGTCCCCGCCCTTTCTTGTTGTGTTCTGCTCCTTGAAGTTTGGCCATGAGTGTCGTTTTCCCCGATCCATCCTCACCTGTAGAAGATGGTACAACGTTTAAAAAAAATCAGTGACAGAATTTAATTTTATGTCTACTAAATATAAATTTCTAAATATATTTATACACTTTGTGTTGATGAGTTTGTTTGCTATACATTACTCGATAGACTGCTATCATCAAAAAGATAGACAGATGGAAGTAAATTAAATGTCTTTACTCCTTTATGTATATGTTTATGGTAAATTACTCAGAGATTTTATGGCTTAGAAGTCATTTAAGTTATTGTTCATCAAATAATACAATAAATAGAAACAATTTCATGTAGGGTTGCCTTGTTATAACATTAGGGTGGGGTCATACATCTTCACACTTGTGGCTGTAATACATACCAAAAACCAGGATATTTTTTCCTGATGGCAACTTTGAACTTGATCTAGTTGATACTTCACTTAATATTGAGGACCTACAGAATGCAGGAGAAACAAAGCAAAAAAGGAAATAAAGTTATGTTTAGTTGAAGCACAATGACAGCAGAACACAATGTCTGGCTGCTTACAAAACACTTAAGTGCTCAGACAACTTTAGATATAATCTCCAGACTACTGAGCTTTGCATTGACCCATTAACATGTAAAGGGGCGACAAAAAAAACAAAACAAAACAAAAAACAGGAAATGCTAAGTAATCATTGAAAACGGAGGTTTCATATGGATACATTAAACTGACTTAGTGTGTACCTTATTACATTGTGTAACGCTTGAGCAACGTAACCGTATATGCCGTAGTCTGAAGGCGTCAACTACAGTTTCAATACTTTTCTTGACACCTAATAACTTGGTGTTAGCACAACACTGACGTTAATGTTTCTGTTAGCTGGAGGTACTTTGTTGTTCAGATACTGCAAATGCTCATGTGACAGTAAATTGCTCCCTTAAAGTTGTGTGTCATTTAGAGAACACTCATTCCGTTCGTGAAAACCAGTTTTTACCAGTCTCATTACGATAATAAGCATAGGCAACTCAGTTAGCGGCTAACGCAGCCAACATTAGCTTAGCATTCAGGGCGCCAGATCCGCTATGATGATGTGACTCCTGCTAGCCTGTTAGCCGGGCCGGTGTTTGACAGCCACCAACCGGCAGTGACAAAGCAGAACTGGCCACTGTTCTCTGGCCATGAAAGATCTCATCACGCATGGAGTCATTGAAAGAGAAGCATGACTTGCCAGAGGTTCTGTCCTTCTTCGTCTTCGGCGTTGTCGTTCCCTGCCTCGGCTGCGCCCGAGAGTTGTTTCTCTAAAACAGGAGCCATCTTCTCTCTTTTCCACGACCACAAAGGCGAGGCCCTACTGCTCCTACTGCTGCTGCTGTTGGCCGGCACCAATAGCACCGCCTGCTTCACTATAGCAGCCAAGGGTGCGTTGCATTTATCGACCGGTACATCGCCCACGTCGAGTTACCGCAATAGAAATAAATAAGCAAATAAAGAAGTTAATTGTAAAGTGATAAACTAGACACCAAAACAACACATTTACATTTTTGTCAGTAAACTTTTATTGTTGACCAGGCATGTGTTTAACATGTTTGCGGAACAATAACACCATACCTCTGGCCATGTGCCAATAAATGATGTCATTTCAAAAAGATAATGGTAATCAAAGAGACAAAGAGAAAGAGTCCATGATTTGTCCAGGTGTACATTCTGCCTTTATTTTTATTTTACTAAAATTGCCTTGTATTGACTTATGAAACAAACCAAGTCTTCAAATCAAATTGCACTTTTACCCCTGAATACATTTATAAAGGAGAAAGCAACAACTTCACATTTAATTATAATGTGAACAGAGTGAATTTTTGTTTTGACATGTATGCTAAGGTTTGGGAAACTCATGACCATGTATTATGGGTTATAGCAAATCTCCAGTAGGTGGTGCTATTTTTGAATATAACATCTGTGAAATCTTACTGTAGTATTTGTTTCCTTACTGCCATTGTTGTGCAATATTCTCTTTGTTTTTAGAATTTTAAAAATAGGTAGGCTTTTTTTAACAAAAGATAATAATGCTATCCTTTTGAAATTTGGTTTTAGTCTGTTTAATAATCTATTTAAATTTCATTGTCATACTTTAAACTTTGTTATCACTTTCATTGTTAAGTAATAAAAAAGTGTGTTATTAAATCATTTTTTCTGGTATTTATGATCCACACAGACTTGTCTTAACCCTGTAAATTCAAAACCAGCAGAACAATTTAACACACATTCCTACACGCGCTCACTCTACTGTTGGGATGTTTCGCTCTGTGGCTGTTTGTGGTCTCAGCACCTGTTTTCTAAATTTCTTTAGCTTTGTGTCAGTCTTGCAGACAAATGAGCTTCAGCTACTGCCACATTCTTTTCCAAGGTCTCTCTATGGCTGTGTATAGTGTGTGTGTGTGTGACTGAATAACTGGAATGGGGTTTATACTCATGGGAGTGCATTCCAGCTCTTTTGCATCATGTGAAACTAATTTTCACCATTTTATAACTATAATGGTCTGCTTGTTATTTTTTTAAAAGTTTTTTTTAAATCCTTTTAATAGATACATAGGAAACAGCATGTGCCAAAGTATTTGAAACTGAACACAATAAATAAATAAAATCAGTAAAACGTGCCTAATCTTATAACTTCACTTATATAAAAATGTATTTTCTATTTCAATGACATTATCTATAGAGTTATGTTTGTGCCGGATTTATGCTAAAGCATTACAGTGCGGAAATACCAGTTAGATTAAGGCTGTTGCAAGAGCTGACAGCGTTTACTTGCGTTATCAGCTCTTCCAACAGCAGAGGGCGCTATCTCCAAAATAATACAACGCGTCAGTTGCACAAAACAAATGATTTAAATGTACTATTAAACAATTCAATCATTTCGATTTTTACGTTTTATCTTACTGTCAATATGAAATACGGATTATTAGAAAGATATGAGGCATAGCCAAGAAAAAGAAATTAGAGATAACATCCATAAGTGATTTGAGAAATGGTTTAATGGTTGCCCAAATATATCCAAAATAGCATTGACATAGCAAACATAAACCAAAACTAAGGCTTAAGTTTAGCACATAACAGCACACATTTGAAACAAAACTAAAATGTAGCCTCCATACAATCAGAGAGGGAAATTACGATTAATAAAAGTTTATGTCAAAATATAAAAGATTGGCTAACCGTTATGTTATTGTCAAAACAAAACAAGACAGTCTAACAGTTTTCCAAAAGGATGGCTACACGTTTGGTAACATCTGACTAGAAATGTTGTGGCGTTTTTTACATGCACACCTGCCTCTCAGATCTCGGTACCCACTCCTGGTGTGTATGCTACATCCTCTCATTATCAGCTCTGACTGTGTGCAGTGCAGAGGGTGTGTCCTGCAGAGGAGGGGTCTGAGACTGGGAGGGTCCAGCCTGCAGTCTGTGCTCTGCTGTTGCTGCTGGGGTTGGCTGTGGAGTCTGATAGTGGTGCTCGTAGGGACTGTGGAGTCAACTGTGAGAGGGACATACACTCACTCACTCACACTCACACACACACACACACACACACACACTCACACATACTCACTGCTTTGTTGCAACAGCCCCCTTTTTTTTCCAGACTGCACCTCTAAAGAGAAGGAGGGGAGGAATCTGCAGCTGTCTCTCCATTATCACCACATCCCGCTTGGAGCTGAGCTCTGGTCCGACTTCAATCACTGTGTCACAGGAATACAGGTCAGTAACGTAACCAAGAAAAAAAAAAAATCCAAGAAAGAGAAAGAGAGAAATTACCGAGGGAAAAAAAAGAGAGAATTGAAAGTAATGGAGAGATTGAGTGAAATAATAATGGCTTTGTGCAGCAGATGACCTACTGTTCTGTTCAATTCAACATGTAACAAAAGAAATTTTACTTTTGTAAAAGATGATCCTTTATTTCCTCTTGCCTACTTGATGCACCTCCTGCCGTACAATTCAATCATCAGTTCCTTCGATTTTTTTACGTCATGAAAAAAAAAACGGGTAACATTGTTGCAGTTGTAAAATAGCCTGTCATTGTGTAGATGTGTTTTTACACCATTTTTGTGACACTGCCGAGAGAGAATGTGCAGGGGCAGCAGCAGGGAGAGAGGAGCCCATACTGTGGGTGGGATGAAATGAAATGGGGGGATGGAGGCAGCTTTTATCTCAAGTGTTCGTGTCCAGAGTGTATAACAGTGCAGAGCAGTGTAATTACCATGTATGGTAGCCTGTAGTGGCCCTGACCGGTGTTGTAGTTAGATGGTGTATTAAGCATAAGCAGCTGCTGCTGCTGCTGCTGCTGCTGCTGGTGGTGGTGGTGGTGCTCACCATCCTTTGTTAGTGGTCGGCACATGTTGCCGGTGCCTCATGTCTCTGTTCTCCTTCATCAATTCACTGTGGGCAAGAAGCCATGATTGTGCCTCATGTGTAGTACCAGTCCTCTTTGTGATCTTTCTTCCTTTTCTTGCTGGCAAAAAATGTAGCAAAGTAACAAAACCATGATGGTTTTTTCTTAAAAAAGAGCGTATTTTTTTTATTTGTTTGATGTGCAGAAAATAAATACATTGAATAAGGGCTTAATAATGATAGAAAAAAAAGGTGTGAAAAAAAGCTTAGTGGTTATATATGAATACGGATTTAAATGAAATAATCATATCATTGCAATTGTACTTACATGTATAATAATGTAACACTGATGGAGGTGGTCTGGAAAAAACGTTTAGATTTCAAGAGCTCCATTTTTAATCAGAGCATGTAGTTGTCAGTCTACATTTTGTACAAATGTGGGCATCAAGTCACCGTGTCTAAATTAGAGTAAATGACTTAAACTGACAGCAAAAATAATGTAGTTTGAACCCTATTCAAAGCTTTAAAAAAATCATATTAACTGCATTTCTTTTTTCAAAGATACATTATGCTGCGAATTCTACATCCTGATACGTTTTCAGGCAAGGAGATGGATTGGCCATGTGCCAATAGAAAAGCAGAAAATATGTTTCTATCTGGAGGATTTAGGTTTTCTGGTACCGTTTTTATACAGCTTAAAAAAGAGTAAATCCTCCATAGGGTTAAAAGTATCTGATCCCAGGCTCTTGTGCAATACATTCTGTCTTGATGACTCCACTGCAGCACTATGGACAGTTCCCAGATTGATTGTACCTTTACCCCCTGAGGATTCCCATCCACCCTGAGTAGTTCAGAACGGCCTCGCAGCTTGGTTTTAAGTCACTGCACAGGGAGTTGTCTTTTACCCTGAGGGTCTGCGTTTTCACCCATCTGCACTTAGAGCGTCTCCTGACCATTCCAGACCCAGAGAAATGGGAGGGTAGTGTCAAGAACAGCATCTGGTGTCTCTGTGTGGATGACCCACTGTGGCGACCCCTGATGGGGAGAAACCAAATGTGATTGTATTTGCTTAGACTGACCTTGCCCTCAGGCTAATGAAGTTACTATGGAAAGTACTTGTCGTATATCGGCAGCTGAAGTGTTCAACTGCCTTGTACAGTAGGTTTTCTATTATGTTCTATTATTGATTATATGATTTGACACTTACCTAGTGTACAATATTAACAATTGTTAATTGTTGTTTAAGGGTCATGTCCCAAACACATGACCTACAGTACAGTAACAGGCGATAACCAAACCTGTAGAGTTTCACTGGTTAAAGACATGACTATGTACCAGAGGTGGGACCAAGTCGTTGCTTTGCAAGTCATAAGTAAGTCTCAAGTCTTTGCACTCAAGTCCGAGTTAAGTCTCAAGTCAAGACAGGCAAAGTCCGAGTCGAGTCCAAGTCAAGACTAAAAAGTGTCAAGTCCCAAGTCCCAAGTCCTTAAGTTTTTGTTTCGAGTCCTTTTAAACAAAATACTAATATATTTACACAGATGACTTTGGGTTTTGGAGAAAGTATCAAGTCTTGTCGAGTCAAAGGGCTCGAGTCCAAGTGAAGTCACGAGTCATTGATGTTAAAGTCCAAGTCGAGTTGCAAGTCTCTTTACATGTTGTCAAGTCGAGTCCACCTTCATATAATTGATGACTCGACTCCAAGTCATGTGACTCGAGTCCACACCTCTGCTACGTACAGCACAGTATGTCTGTTTTTTTTTGCAGAAATGAGGTTACGTAACACTTAGCATCTAAAGTCCGATGTTAAGTGTTACAAGATTGTTTGAATGTGCAAACAGAGCATCCAGTTGAACCATCTCATACAGGACTGTGTTTGGACGTTTGCTAACGTAGTGGCCCCGCGGCCTCTTCCTCCTAGACGGTCTCTTCATCATCTACTTCCCTTGAAATGGGATCAAATATCACTAAAATGACACAATGTTATATTAAACAAACAAACAAAAAAACCAGTGTTAAAGATAGTTAAAACATTATGCAACTGTTTAATATTTTATTCAAAAATAGCAGTGTCCATTCCTGAGGTAGAGTTTTGTTAGGGCCAGCAGTTGTTGCTTATTGTCCTGGCCCAAATCGAATACAACCAGTGCAGTAAAAATAATTAGAATGCAGTGATTTCCCCCAGTTCCCTGTTCTGTTCTCATTAACAGGAAGTGGCAGTCTGTGGTAATCACTGGATCTTCCTCTTTGGCTGCGACAGTGTCATGCGATTCATATAGATACGATTTAAACTCTTGATAAATAGTTGGCACAGAAAATCAAAAAAAAAAAAAGGACTGGAGACATGAAGGCGGTTTTTATGGCGATTCTTGTTAATGAATTAACTAACGAAAAAATGTGGTTCCTGTCCAGTTATGTTTAACATTAAATGTCCCCTATAGCTTATATAACATATAACTTATATTACCCCTTATATAACCAATGTGAAGAGAAGTGTTATGTATATATATATCTATTTATCTATAGATATATATATATATATATATATATATATATAGGATCTCTGGTTGTTTGTTTACAGACAAATAGTCACACGTCAATCACGTGCTTTGACGTTACACACGTGACACTGAGCAGAGCCTTGGTGATGCAGAGACAGCATATTTTTCTTGTGAATTTTTACTGCAGTCCAGAGAATCACCAGAAAGGGAAGTAGAGACATGATTATGGTCATCTGGCAAAGTCTTGAGGATCATTCAATTATGTTTTACCATTTTCGGTGAATGAGATGGAACAAAACATACATTGGAATGTTGGTCAGGTGAATTGATATTTATTTTTTAATCATTCTCTCGATGTTGCAGGGAGACATCATGGGAGGCAAAGTTAGCAGAAAGAAGAAGACATATGACGTGAGTGACCCAAAGGCCAACAAGGAAGAGGTGGCAGCAGTGACTGCTAAAGAGAAAGATGGAAAAGCAGAGGCCGACAGTGTGGCCAAAGACGACGCAGCGCCACCTGCAGAGGCGGCGGCTGAGGCTGCTAAAGCTCCGGAAGAGACCGGTTCGGGGCCTCCAGAAGAAGCGTCCACTGTAGGTCCAGAGGACGCTGTTCAAACAGTAAAAGCAGCAGCTGATGCTGCAAACGACGAACCTGCTGTAGTCGAGGATAAACCTCCTGCTGTTGAGGAAGCAGCTCCGGTATCAGGAGAACTCGCTGCAGCAGCAAAAGAGGCAACTGTTGTTGCAGAGGAACCAGTTGTAGTGAAAGAGGAATCTGATCCAGTAGCAGCAGAACCGGTTACTGCAGCAGTGGAAGAAGATGTTGTCAAGGCAGAGGAGTCTGTTCCAAAAGCAACGGAACCTGAAGTGTTAGCTCCCTCAGCAGTCGTGGAAGAAACGGTCGCAACCACAGAGTCGGCTCCTGAAAAACCCGTTCTGGTAACAGAGGAGAAGGAACAAGTTATGGAGGAATCGCCTCTTCCAGCAGTCGAAGATAAACCTGCAGGAGCCGCTGAATCAGTTGAGCCTGAAGACGTTGCTGCAGTTTCTCCCGTGTGCATTGAACCTGAGAAAATTGAGCCGGAGCCCGTCTCCGAAACGCCTGTTGTCCCCGAATTAACTGTGGACGAGACAGTGAAACCAACTGTAGAGCCGGTATTGGAACAAGCTCCAGAACCAGAAACTATTCCTGAGCCGGTATCGGAACAAGCTCCAGAACCAGAAACTATCCCTGAGCCAAGGATGGAGCAAGAACCTGCTCCAGAGCCAGTGGAATCTGAGCCAGAACAAAAACCAGAGCAAGCTCCAGTGTCAGAACAATTACAGGAACCAGAGCAAGAGTCAGCAGAACCTTCTACGCCAGAACCACAGAAAGAACCTGAGTCCGATCTGGTGCAAGAACCAGAACCAGAGTCTGTGGAATCATCTGAGCCCGATCTAAAACCTGAGCCGCTTCCTGAACAAGAGAAAGTAGCCGATGTGGATGTGGTGCAAGAACCAGAGTCTGATTCTTTACAAGCGTCTGAACCAGAGCTGCAACAAGAACAATCCCCTGAACCTGAGGCAGTACCGGAGAACCAACCAGAAGAAGTTGAGCCTGAGCCAGTTGTGGCGGGAATAGAGTCTGGTGGACATGATGAAACTGTGGAGGCACCGGCGTCTGAGGCCTTGGAGCCTAAAGCGGCAGCACTCGCTCCTGAGATCGTCATCTCGGAGTCTGTGTCTGCCTCCAGTCTAAACGACGAAGCTGAGCACGCACCCGAAGCGTCTGCGGAGGAGGTCCCTCTTCCGGAGGTTGAGGTCCAGAGCAAGATGGAGAACGGAGATACGGGGAGTGCGTTCGCTCCGGCAGACGTAGCAGACGTGGACGCCGCTCCAGCTGTGAACGGAGATTGCACAGTTTCACCTGTCACAGAGACACAGGGCTGTGTGAACGGCAAAGAGGAGCCGACAGAGAAGCCCGCCAAGCTGAGTGACTGTGAACTGAAAAAAGACGTCCAGGAGGTTCCTGACGACATGGTGGAGAGCCCGGGCACTGAGGTCACCCTGTCAGTGTGAAGAGCAACAATCATTACAGTCGGTGTCAATCTTCCTGTGGTGCAGAAAAGGCCCATCACGGTATCATAAATGCAGCTAGGATCTCGGAAAAAAAGGCCGAAACCACAGCAGTGTTTTCGGTGGTGAAAAAAAAAAAAAAGGTGTTGCCTTTAAATAAACAAAATGATTTGGTGTCACTTTAGTATAGAGAGAGAGAAAGAGAGAGAGAGAGAGAGAGAGAGAGAGAGAACAGGCAGAAAGTAAGAGATACAGTAGAAGAGAGCGCATCGGAGGTGAAGACGTGGGGTGGTGTAGGTGCAGAGTAGAGAGCTCAACAGAACAAGACAGTCCATAGATAATATAAATGAATGGAATGAAACCATCTGTCCCAGTGTGCGTGTACATGTGTGTGTGTGTGTGTGTGTGAGCCCAGTGGCTTTAACAAAGTTGTTTCGGAACAACATCCATCATGTAACCTGAGTATGACTTTCATATAACCTTTCTAATACTGACACGAAGAAAAACCACATTCAAAGTTTCGGTCTTTTTTTAATAACGGAACCTGTGAGTGCTGTTATTTTAAAATGTTGCAAATAGAGAATAAAGGAGAGTTTGTTATCGTCTACGTCGATGTTACTTTTTTTTTTTTCTGACAGCAGCAGATGTGTGACTATCAGCAGCTCGGTGTCTTTTTTTGCACCAAAGTTGCCACTTCACATCAGGCACATTTCCCATCAGAGTGAATGGAAACGGAGAGAAAAAAAAAATCTTTCAAGCGTCTGTTTATTGTCAGGTATTTCTGTATCAGCTCCAGTGGCCGGGACTTTGGCTGATTATTCACTTACACCAAGATCAATGGCCTCCAGGTCACTGGTTACTTTACAGGTATTTTTATCCAGACAAACACAGATGCTGCCACGGAGTACGGAGTACTTCACGTCCTGCCGGGACAAATACTGCATGTGTTACTGCATGCAGAGAAATGCATTAAGTTGATGGATAACCTGTTTTTCTTTATTTTTGAAGCAAGTTGAAATAAAAAAATCATGTTGCCAAATAGTCTTTCCCCGAAAACCAAGATTATAAGTGTATACGAATTCAATTGATAAAATATAATATATATATATATTGTTGTCGTATCAGTACATTATAGTAGTATTTGTGTCTTTACTGATATATACAGCATGTGTTAGACTCTAGGTTAGGGATGAGAACACTTAGCTTGAGAGCTAAGAGTGATCTAGTGACATTAAAAATGTTAAATATATGCAGTATTTACACATATAAACTAACATTTTATATACCTAATACATTATACGCTGGGACACTGATTCAATTTTTATTAGCTCTATGGTACAATATTATGAAATTCTTACAGTATCTGATCACTAGTACACACGATTGAATTGTATTCGTATTTTACCTCTTAATTTTAATGATTTTGCACGATGGGATTTACTGGAAGCTCACGATCTACACCGCTGATCTAGGTGATAGGCTAAAGTTTTACTTCCTATTAGAAGTACCTGTAACTCGAATACTTTATAATTTGTACTCAGTACAGTAAAAAGTGTATACATTTTTACTTCACTTCTAATCACTTCAAATTTAAACTCCATCAGAAGCCAGTCTTGTTTTTGTTAGCTTCCGTGAACAATTATAATAATTTTTCACCAACAAATTAAACTGAAAGTTACTCTACGTTCTTCTACCCATTTGGATATTAATACTTTGGAGAGGGATACATGTCACCTCCTTGTACGGTAAGATGTAAACCCTCTGTTTTTAAAGTCTCCACTGGAAACACATGACGTCTGCCATGTTGGATCTAAAACTTTATACTCTTCCTGGTTTGTTTATCCAAATCCCCAGATCAGAAAACACACATTCACCACAGCGTTAGCCTGTACCATCACGTCGGTGACACCGTCAGGGAGACGTTCAAGAAGATAACTCATTAATGCTGTAGAGATGACAAGAACACGTCAGTGAGCTGCAGTATTTCACACGATGACACCAGACATGCAGTGGTGTTACAGCGGGTGAAGATGGCCGCTCCATGGTAGGGGGAAAACATGTTTTGACTCTAACCTAGTGTCTCCATGTAGAATGTGAGCCTATGGCTCACACTAATGCCAGAGACTATAGTGTCTTTGGCGTACGGGCGCTAATGCACATTAGCAGGAGGTAGCAAAGTGATTCAGATGGTCCTGAAGGGCATCTGTTGTGTGCACATGTGAGGAATTTGTGTGTGTGCATACGTGTGCGTGTGAGAGGGAGTACGGTCAGCCAACCTTGAAATAGCTCCTGGACCAGAGGTCAGGTCATGAGAGGAGATCATACACAGATAAAGGAAACATCCCGCAGAAGGAGCTCCATAATAGGTCCATCCACATACCAGCATCTCTGGATCCTTGAGAAAATACTCCAGCTTTGGACATTTTATTAATGGAATGTGGGTTTGAGAGGCCAGCAGAATTGACTTACCGCTCTCTCTCTCACACACACACACACACGATCGCATGCACATACACACACAGAATTCTTTGCATAAGGCTTTGTTCGCTCGCCTAATGATTTACAGATAAAATGTGACATGGGTTTCAATGTGCTGGGAAAACTTTGAGTAGGCAGGAGTATTTCTCCTATATCTATACGTACTGTGTTTACAGTTTTTTAAAGTCGTCTTCACAGCAACAGTCCAAGCTCCTAAAGTCATTTTTTTTTTTTTTTTTGAAGGTATCGCTCTTTAGAGGTTGCACAGGAACTTTTCTTTTCCTTTGCTAGCAGCTATGTTTTTATGGCAATTTCAGCGTACGGGGGGATCTTTGCCTTATTTAAAGATGGCTACATCACCAAAGTCGTTCATGTGGTGTATAGATGGATAAAAGAAGAGCAAGAAAAAAAAATTACAGCTATTAACAGCAAGACAGTTGTTAGGTGTGCTGTCAGAGGGACCGATGGGTTCAAGTTAGGGTGGGTTTATATCTTATTAATAATGAATAACAATGTCAATATTGGATCAGGTACTTGAGTATAAAGTCACCACCGAGTGAAGACAGTTAAATATAAATAATGACTTTTATTCATATTTAATTTGATTTTAATTTATTTGTATTTTTAATATAACGCAAAAGAAATGAAGGGTCAATGGAACAGTTGCTCCGATTCGTACACACCACTGTATGTAATCAACTTCACTGAGAGTCGATCTAGCACCTCTGACGTTTTCTTTATTATTGTATACGTATCAATGCTAGCATTTAAAGTTCTAAACTGTATGATGTCCTCCTTCAAAAAGTCATCTTGGCACCGAAACACCTGACACTGGCAGATGTCCAGACGGAGTGACGTCGCTGTATTTTCTCTGTTCAACTTTTCAACTCTCTCCAAAGTTATCATTTGAATGTCGTCCATGCAGTCGTATTTTACATCCCTTTAACATCATCCCGCTCCAGGGCCTTTTTTTTCCCCTTTATGTGCTGCTGCTGCTGCTGCTGCTGCAGGAGAACAGGCTCCCTGTCTTTTAGGTATTGATTTAAACACTGCCTTAATGTTGCATAGTTGTGAAAAGGCAGCTGCACTGCCTAGTTACCCCTAACACTATGTTCTCTATATGCAGCCCCTCACACAAAGCTAAGCTTTCTCCCCCTGTAGGAAGACTTGTCTTCAGGCCTGATCTGTCCACCACTGACGGCCTCAGGAAAGCCAAGAAAAACGTGATTCAAATCCAAAGAGAGTTAAATCACCAGACGGACAAATATCAGCTGTTCTCTTCTCGGCAGAGCTCAGAAATGTCGGTGTCACTGCTGACGCTAACCTTTAGCAGTACATCCAGAAATTGTAATAGCTGACAGATTGGTAATATGTAAGTGTAGAGAAATGGGATGAGAAGGGAGTGGAAAGGGGGAGAAAGAAAAAAACTCTGCTGTGAGACATTAAGTAATAGATGATTTGGTGAAGTCACACGTTGATAAATAATACAAGGAAAAACGTTTGATATTTCTACAGCCAGTGAGCGTTATAAACCTACAGTGACATCACCAGCGGCTGCCACTGCAGATGATCTGCACACAGGCCGTGACTCGACACAATTTTTTTTTTTTTTCTTGCCATGCCATCCCTCAGAATGAGCTGTGTTTTGCAGGCGTTGCATTGGCAGTGGTTGCACACTGTAATTATTGAAGAAACCAACGAAAGTTGGAAACTCAGCGATTTTGGTAAGTTCATTCCTAAGAATGCAGACTGGTGGAAAATTAGGTGCCGTCTTACTGGATTTAAAACATCAATAAATACTTAACACTCGGGCTTCCAGTTTCAAATATAACTGTCCCCTCAACTACAGTTGTTCTTTAGCTTTACTTTTTCCTCTTAACAGGATCAGAGTTTAGAATTTTTTTAAACATATATATATAAATATATATACATACATATATATATGTGTACATACATACAGTACATATATATGTATATATGCATAGACTTGTTTTTTTTTTCAAATAACATTAGATTTCATGTTTAAAATACTACAATGCCCTACTATCGCTATCTCTTTTTTCTTGTGTCTATACCAGAGGTGTCAAAACATACGGCCCGCGGGCCAAAACCATTCCAGTTGAGGTTTCAATATAGCCCGTTTGATGAATTTTGAAAATAAAATAAAAAATACACAAACACTTCATGTTCAGGAAATGTTTATTAAAATTATATTTCGTTAAATATGATGATTTATCAATACTTTTTTGAATGAAAACAAAGGGGAAAAAGACAGATTTTTTGTTATCTATAGGTGATTATGTCATGATTGAACTGGTCCGGCCCATTTGACATTTAATTTGGTTGTATGCAGCCCGTGAACCAAAATGAGTTTGACAGCGCTGGTCTATACTAAGAATTCATTTTAATAACGTGAGTGTTTTACTTTCCTGCCCATAGCCAGAAATACAAACACAACCAAAAAACACAACTTCCTGGGACCGGGTAATTTTTAACAATCTTAGTTAAAGTTAAAGTGAGGAGAGAACATTAGTTATCGAGAGTTAAACAGTCAAGACATGCAGCCTCACAGCTGTCGTCAGAGTTCAACCTCTGCAGTGGCATTAGCATTAGCCTGTCCCTGCGTCAGGCCAGTAAAAAATAATAGTGGAATCAAATGTGCACGTGAAATAAACAAGAGCGACATCACGGCAAAGGGAACGTATTCAAGTTGGGTTTTTTTTTTTCAAGACTGAGGGAATCGAATCCTTCACTGGACCAACTGTGAGATAATCTAAGCTGATGCAATGTTTACCATGAGTGAACACACATGCCTTATCTGCAGGTCAGCCATACTGTGGCTCCCAGAGTTTTAAAGACCGCTCAGAAACGCCGTTTTTTTTTTTTTTTTTTTTTTTTCAGAAACGCCGTTTTTTGTTTTTTTTGTTTTTTTTTGTATATTAGATTTTTCTGCAGATTTACTTTGCCAATTGAAATGACTCAGTGGCTAACAGGAGTCAGGCGGCCCAATCACAGCCACAGCTGATCAACCATTGCAAATTGATGAATATAATTGGAGCAGTTATGGGATGTCACGGCAGCAGTACAGACTGAAAAACACCACAGACCAGGTGTCCATGTCTGTGCAGG